CAGTTGCCTCTTGCACACTCCTCGACCGGGGATCGAACCCACAACCTAGATATGTGCCCCGACCGAGGATCAAACCCGCAACTTTTTTTGGTGTACAGGATGATACTCCAACCAACTGACCCACCTGGCCGGGGCAATACCACACTTTTTAAATTACTATAGCTTGTACATAGTAAGTTTTGAAGTCAGGAAGTATGAGTCCCCCAACTTTTATTATCAACATGCATTTCTGAAATGCATTTTTAAGAATAGTACAATATGAATCTTCCAAACTTTAATACAGTAACTAAACTATTTTCTTCCCCTTTCTTTGGTACACTGAAAGGGTACAATGAAAATGCTCTTGCTTCCTTGCACCGAGCCTCACCATCTGTCTCCACAGTCCCTGTGGGAGGGTTAGGGCAATAAGGGAGGAGCTGGCTTTGCGTGTAAAGAATCTGCTCGAAGAAATATGAGGAGAGGGGGACAGGTGGAGGAGAGCAATGCCCCTGGGCAGGGAAGGAGCTCCCTGCTAAAAAGAGAATAGGGCATGGGAATAGGGGGTGCTTTAAAAAAGGAGGCAGGGGCTTTGCTGGAGATGGTTCCCAGGGTCTAGCAGCCGATTCCGGGGATGTTACCACGAAGGAAGAGGGCCGCCCGCCCAGGTGGGTGGAGCCAGCACAGGAGCCGCCTTGGCGCAGGGATCAGGCCCTGGCGCCAGGTCCGGGTGGGCGGTGGTGCCGGATGGAACCAGCTGGAGACCAGCTCAGCCAGGACACTGGTTTTTAATGCCACCTCCACTGGAGTTCACATACTGTATTGATGTTCTTCACCCCCACCCTCCCAGTACTATTCCGGGAAGAAAAAGAAATCCTAAAACGATTTTATTTCTGGTATAATTTCTACTCTTCCCTCCTACCTCTTGCTTTTTAAAAATTTACTTCATGTAGCAAGCAGCGATGCCTGCAAGTCGGGCTCCTGGCTAGAGCAGAGAGATAACAAGGGCAGTACGGCTCAGCTCTCGCACGGGTGAGGGGCTTGCCTGGTGGTCTGGGCAATGTGATATGGAAGGGAACAGGGCAACAAGAAGGACAAGGGAGGCCCTGAGTGTCCAAGAGCCAGCCATGCAGCTCCCACCAGTCATGGCAGCCAGGCCTGGGGCAGTGAGAGGAGAGAAGCAAGCTGTGATCAGCCCGTAGGTGGGGCAGCTCAAGAGATGGCAGGGAGGCGAGAATCTGAAGTTTGCTCGAGAATGGCTCTGGTGAGTGGGGGAGTTACTGGCACCCGGCGCTGACAGAAAGAAGGTAGTTGGTCCATGTAAGACTTCCTGAGGCCAGAAGAGCACGTGCGCTCCAGGAGGGACAGGAGAATGCAGTGGGGACCCAGGGGAAGGTGTTCAAGACGTTCCGTGGGCCTGGAGGCCAGGGGAGCTCGCCCTGGAGGTATGTTCGCCAGTCCTCAGCATGGTTCATCCAGATGGTTAAAGCCATCATAGATAATGGAGGGAATCACCCAGGTAGAGTATGCAGGGAGGGGAAAACAGAGGTCAAGGTAAAAATCTCTGTGGCTCACCAGCGCCAGGGAGCCAACTACATAGAAACCAATGCACGTGGTTTTTATTTTATTTTTATTTTATTTAAAAGACACTTTTTAAAAAAGATTTTATTCATTTATTTTTAGAGAGAGAAGGGAGGGAGAAAGAGAGACAGAGAGAGAAACATCAATGTGCAGTTGCTGGGGGTCATGGCCTGCAACCAAGGCATGTACCCTGACTGGGAATCGAACCTGCGACACTTTGGTTCTCAGCCCGCGCTCACTCCACTGAGCTATGCCAGCCAGGGCTTGCATGTGGTTTTTAAATCCCTAAATACATACCTCGTTTTGTATTACATGTGCTCCTGCTTCTGAATATACACACACGCACTCACATAAAAAAGGCGTATCAATGGCTGATTGTTTATCTCAGACGGGCTAGATGCGGCCTTCAGCTGTTGGTGACACTGTGGCAGCTACGAGTGACACACCCACAGCGCCGTTAGGAGTTGGTGTTTGCTCTCCTGTGAGGAGCCCCGAGTCAGGCCCTGAGTTCATGAGGACGGAGAAGACGTTCAGAGTCTGGTGAGGGAGCAGCGGGGGACACACAAGAATAACCATTGTCCCAAGAAGGGGTGAACCAATCGCCAACTAAGGAAGTTCTGTGTCAAGGGGAAAAAGGGACACTAAGGAAGTTGATTGAGCAGCTGTCCACGTATTTTCTTTCTTAAATCCTGACGAGGTTTCCCTGGGGGGATAGTGCCCTCCTTCGGGACCCCAGGAAGCTTCAGCTCACAGAGGTTTGTTGGCCCAGAACCACACGACTGGAGAGCAGGTGCGGCTCCCTCCAGCCTTGCCCCATCTAACCACCAGCTGGCGTTTTCACCAGCCGCTCTGTGCAGTGCCCCTCCCAGCCAGTTTCTCATTAAACCGCGTTTCTGTCATCTCTCTTCGCTGCTGCTCTCCTGCCTGGGTGGCCAGCAGGACGCCTTCTGCTCCACCGAGCGCTCCTTGCGTCTGCCACCAGTCGGCCCAGCCGGCCTGCTTTGTCTCGACTAAGCCTGAAGGGACCGGTGGGATTAGGCTCCGGTTTCTGTCTTCACCCCTCCTATGTTGGGTGGACCTTTTGTTTTTGGCGAGGGAGTACTTTGCGGTCTGGTGGGCTATTCCCACTTTTAATGGGCGAGTCTGCGCCTTTCTTCCCATCTGGGCCTCAGCTGGAGGCAAGGCTTCGGCGCGAACTGACCAGGGCAGTCTGCCAACGCCGCAGGGCCAGCAGCCGCCTTCTGAACTGTGACATAGGTGCCCAGGCATGAACACTCAGGGGAGGGGGTGGCAAAGCTTGTGACAGTTTCTAGTGTTCTTCCACTGTTCTTTGCAGCAAAGGTGGGACTTCAGTGGGACTTACAGGCGGAAGAGGAATTGAGTCCTCCAGACTTCTTGAAGGTCGCTTGAATGACTGGAGAGTTAAAAACTACACTGACATACTTTTTATAAAGGCGGAGTTTTCTGACGAAAATAACAGCATGGTTTATCATTGCACTACCAATTACAAGTGTTATTTTACATCTCTTCATAATCACTATTGTTCACAGTATAACGGAAGCTCGATGTGATTAAAAAAAGTTTATCTCCTCCTGAGTGGGTGGACACCCCAAGGGTTTAGCTGCCAATATTGTAATGTTACATTCTGATCCCATGGTTAACTGTCAATATGTGGACAAAAGTTTACTTGAGCTGAGTGTTCATTATCTTCACTTTAGGCAGTTTTAACTAGAAGGGAAATAAAGCCCTGGCTGGCATAGCTCAGGGGATTGAGTGTGGGCTGCAAACGAAAGTGTCGCAGGTTCGATTCCCAGTCAGGGTACATGCCTGGGTTGCAGGCCAAGGTCCCCAGCAACCGCACATTGATGTTTCTCACGCTCTCTCTTTCTCCCTCCCTTCCCTCTCTAAAAATAAATAAATAAAACCTTTAAAAAAAAAGAAGGGAAATAAAAGAGAGTTTGGAGAGAGTTTGGCAGGGATGTGGGCTCCCTGCCTTATATAAACTGGCTTCCCTCCCACCTCCCGTGGGGAGAGCAGAGAGTGGAAGGGGGAGGCATGGCGGCGCTCAACTCCGCCCATAGCTCCCAATGGAAAGAAGCAGGAAACCATCGTGTTTATAAACCAGTTGGTGAAAGAAGTACATACAGGCTCTGAGGCCACCATATGGCCCTTCCCGCTCCATGCCCCTGCTGGCTGACGCACAGTAAGTCCTCAGCAGAGACTCCAATAGAGCTGTGCAGCCTCGTGGTCAAGAACGAGACCCAGGACCTGGCTACCTTCCGGTATTCCATCGCTGAGTGCTGCTCTGCAGCGGCCCCCGGAGGGGAGAGGCGGTTAGGTACACACGGTTAGGTACACGCCGGATCCTGCAGGACTTGGGAAGCCACAAGGAATGTGTTCTGTGACTTGACTTGACAGTGAACCTCAGCCCCCTTCCTCCGGAGACGATGTCCTAACGGTGGCAAGGACCTTGGCCTCAGCATGAAAACCTCTTTTGTTTTCAGTTTGTTTTTGTGTCTTATTAAGTGAAATAAGCCAGTCAGAGAGAGCGAATACCATAGGATTTCATTTATCTGTGGAATCTAATGGGCAAACTGAACTAACAAGCAAAACAGAGACAGACTCACAGATGGAGAACAGAAGACAGCCAGTGGGGAGGAGGTTAGGGGGTGGAGGGAGCGAGCAAAAAAGGAAAAGGACTCGCGGACAGCAGGGTGGTGATTGCTGGGGGGAGGAGGTGTAAGAGGACTAAATGGGAACGGAAAAACATAATGAAGATTATATATTTAAAAATTTCATGTTTCATTGTTTCCTCTTCATAGTTTACTAAATTCCTAAATGGTTATCATAAATATATTTTAATGTTCTTCCCTTTTCCTTTATCTTACAAAAAACATTGAAGGTGGAAGGTGGAAGAGCCTTGAAGAATAAGTAGGAAGTAAGGGCTGGCTTTAATCTTCCTGACCCCATATTTCCACTAACAAAAAAACAGGGAAGAATGTTCCAGGTAGAGGGAACTATAGGAACAAAGAACTGTCGTGCATGACATGGGAAGAGTGGCTGGAGTAAAGATGGAATAGTGGTTTGGGAACAAGTGATGAAGGCCCTTGGGTACCACAATAGCTGGAGTTTGGACTTCGCTCCACAGGCAATGGGGAGCCTTCTCGGGCTCTGGGAGACAAGAGATGTGATTCCATTCATCCTTTTAGTAAGTGACTTCGGTGTCAGTGCAGAGGGTGGGTTAGGAAGGAGTCCAGGAGAGCAGTTAGGAGGCAGTTTAGTACTGCAAAAATAAAAAAAATAGCTCAGGAGATACGGTGATGGTCTAAATGAAAGCAGCCTGGGTACATACGATTGGGCCACATTGGAAAGATCATGTTGTACAAAGTATTCATGGGACTTAGCCATATGAAGGGCAAAAAGATAACTCTGTCGACATAAGAAACATTCAAACCTTTATTTGCGCCAGACTGATGACAATCGCCAGCAAGCAAAAGCCCCAAGGACTGAGGAAGTGCTCCAGAGAGTGGCGGTTCTGCACTCTGCTTTGTACGTAACAACACGTAAGTGGGCTGCGTGAGAGCCTTTGGTGCTAGGTGAGGGAGCCCGGAGCAAGCAAAGCAGGGAGACCTTCAGGATTGGATAAAAAGTAAAATGATAGACACATACTTTTTTTTTTTTTACGTAGGTGGGTACAGGATAGTTAACAGACAACAATTAGCACGATAATAATAACAATGGGGATTTGCACTCTCTGCTGTGGTATATGGTATCTGTGTTTTGAGGGGTGGGGTGGGGGGGGTGGAAATTACTCTGACACACCAAAGGGATGCTATTGTAGATGTGAAAAGACAATAGACAGGCTTAATTAAGGTAAAGATGGACTGTTTTCGGGGAAGAGCCTCACCTAGGGCAGGACTACCCGAGTAAACTGCTTTTATTTAGTTAGTGACTTTTAATCGCAGGCCATCCTGTGTGGTCACTTGAGGTCTCTGCGTCTGTGAGGCTGCCGCGAAGGCCGCTCCTGAGCTGGTCAGGTTAGTGTGTGGCCCTGATAGGGGACTCAAGACTTGTAAAATTTTAGCTTCAGGTAAAACATTCTAAGTCTAGCAAGTAATGTGTGTGTTAAGCTTTTGTTTCAGAAACTGCAGATAAGGCCCATCCTGGCTCCTGGGAAAAGCAGCCGACCTCCTGGGGCACTGGCTAGAGATTACCACCTGGGGACCTGTTGGAGGCATCTGGGCCTTTTGTGTGCCCCCCACCCCCACCTTGGGAACAGCTAACTGCGGAGAACTGGAAGGCTGCAGCTTCTCTCACCTAATCCTCCCTGAGTTTCAAAGCCCTCCCCACACCTTGTTTGTCCTCCCCCACCCCCTTATAAAAGATCTGGCCAGGAAAGAGAAGGGAAGATGGTTTGTTAGGATATGAACCCCCCATCTTCTCGGATCGACGGCCATCTGAATAAAGCGCCCATGAAAGATTCAATCACTATCATTGCTTATTGGATTTGGTAGTGACAGGCAGCCTGAACGCCGGTGTCTTTTCCGGTTTCAGCCCCTTTTCTCATCCGCACTTGGAGAAAAATAGTGACCTTAAGTGTGAGCCCGAGACAAAATGGGCACGTTAGTCAGGAAGAGACTCCTGTGGGGTTGGGCTCAGAGAAGAGGTTGGGACAGAAGACGAGTATTTGGGAGTCAGTCATGCAGGAAGAAAGGCGACGTCCCGAAGTGCCCCCAGGGGGAGAGCACAGCCTGGGAGAGGAGAGGGCCCAGGGCAGAGCCTTCAATGGGGGAGTCGCCGCGAAAGGGACGGGGGAGGAGCCATCTGAGGTCCAAGGCCCACATGGCAGGAGCCAAGGAGTCCTGGTCAAGAAGGAGCAGAAGTTTAGGGAAAACACTGGAAGGAAACACTACGTTTTGGCCATAGCGCAGTCCCTGGTGGGCTTTCGAGAAGGTCATTTCCAAGAAACAAGAGGCAGCAATGAGGTCCTAGTGGTTGAGGCACAAACAGCGGGCAGGGAAGTATAAACGAAGCCCCCAAACTGCTCTTGGGAGCCTATGCAGTGAAGGGAAGAAGAGACAGGTAAGCTGACGTGGAGAATATTCCATCTGCGTAGCTCATGAGTCTGCAAGGCACTTTGACATCCGTTACCTCACTCAGCCCCCAAGACAGCTCAGCAGGTGGGAAGGGCAAGTCTTGCTGTGCCTGGGGACGAACTGAGGTTAACAAGAGGTTAAAGGCTTGCCCAAGGTCATCTAGAGCAAATAGGTGGAAGAATTCCACTATGTTTAGAATTCAGGTCATTCAGCTCTTAATTCAATGATCTTTCCACCAAACTTTCTCTATTTCAATATTGGGTACCAGGGGACATGGAGTTCCTTGTTCAAGGGGTTTTGATTTTATCCGGGGGACAAAGGGGCGCAACTGGAAGGTTCTGTGCCCAGGAACACCATATTTAAGGCAGTGCTCGAGGGAGACACATCTGGCAGGGAGTGCAGGCAGTGTTTGTGGCACAGACAGTCACCGCAGAGAGCAGACAGGCCCTTAGGACCCGGCTCCCCATGGGGGCACAGCGGGAGGGAATGCTGCGTCGCACTTGAGAAAGTCATTTCCCTTTTGGTTCTGTGGATTCTTTTTTGTTTGTGTTATGGAGAGGAGGCGCTTTGCCAGTATTTTTTAAACACCCTTCAAATAACTCTCTAACTTCCGTTTTGACCAAAAAGGGAGCTCGCCTCGGGTTGAGAACGGCAGTGCTTAACTGGCTCCAGCCAGACCCAGCCAGAACTGAATTGCATTGCTTTGTGTGAGCTCTATTTTCATGATGCTCCCGGTTTTGACAAGCAGTACTGACTTTTCCCTTATTGTCATTACAGAAAGGTTACTCTCCAGTACCCCTAACTGAAAAAAGCCAAATTAAGGAAAAATAATACGTCGATTCAGAGCCGGGCGGTAAACACACGCGGGAGAAAACCCAGTGAATGTGCATTCTGGTGAAGGCAGTTTGGGCAACTCTTGGACTGGAGACAGTTGCGAGAGGAGGGGCGAGGCCTCCGTCCAGGGTGGGATGATGGCAGTGGACATGCAGAAGTCTCTGACGGACATTTTAAAGGAGATAAAGGAATTTGGGTATCTTCTGCAGCATTTCTCAGGATGCTTCACAGCTGCAAAAACAGAAGGCTTAAATAAAAAAGGCTCGTGCAATGCAATGAGTTTATTACCTCACGTCACAAGAAGCCTCGAGGTAAGGTTGCCCCAGACTGGCTGCCAGTGGCTCACTGACCTCACTAAGGGCTCATCTTCCGGACACCTTCCGACGTCAGCACGGAGCTTTGGTCTCACGGCCCCAGAGTGGCCGACGTGGTTTGCGCAGGTACCATCAGGACATACTGTGCTTCAAGGCAAGAAAAGCTCTCTCCTGGTGGCGAAGCAGGAAGCATGCAGAAACCGTTCCCTAGCGGCGCCCGCACCAGCATTTTCCTTCAGGGTTCACTGTTCCAAAGTACGTCACGGATCACACAGGAGCCAGTCACCGCAAGGGGGAATCAAGTGACTGTAACTAACCAGGACTAGTTAGGATTTATCCTCTGAGCTAGAGAGAGAGACCCTTTCCTGCAGGGTTTACCAACATATCGGGGCTCTGCTAATTAACAAACAGGGCTGGCAGGCAGTCATCCTTCACGACTTCCACCAGGGGTTCTGAGATTCCTCGTGTTAGCTCTTTTTTTTTAATGGAAATTTTTTAAAAAGATTTTTATTTATTTATTTTTAGAGAGGGAAGGGAGGGAGAAAGAGAGAGAGAGAAACATCAATGTGCAGTTGCTGGGGGCCGTGGCCTGCAACCCAGGTATGTGGCCTGACTGGGAATCGAACCTGCGACACTTTGGTTTGCAGCCCGAGATCAATCACTGAGCTACGCCAGCCAGGGCCTTGCATTAGCTCTTGAACATAAGTGGGAGGTTCCTGAGGCTTGTGGGTTTTTATATGTTAAGTCTTATTGAGCTCTTCTCTCCATGTGTTGGATCACCGCACAGCGAAATACTTCCACGGCAAAGTCAACTTCTGGTTTGGTGACGCACATGGAGGGCGCAATGCGGAACGTCTGAGGAGACACGGGGGAGAAGAGAGGCGCCGTGGGCGTCGGTTCACACGCGACTCTGAGCAGAGGCGCTACACTGAGGCTCTGAAACTCTGTGGTGATGGCATCTCTTGTGTTTCCCTCATGGGTCGGTCTTTCTCTCCACTGCTGATCCCGGCCCATTCACCCCCCGGTCTTGTAAAAATTCTGGCACCACCTGCTGCGTCCCTTTTCCTTTCTGTCATCTGCTCACCTCCTGGTCCTTGCACCTCCTTCATGAGGTCATAGGTACCCATCTACACCCCACTTCTGCCACCACCCAGGGTGACCTCCAAGCCCGTGCGTACAACTTAACAAACACGCTTCTTGGTTCCTTGTTTGCTGCAACTCCCAGAACCTTCATCTCTGCTTCTCCGCATCCATCCATTCACCCCCACGGCCAGGGCCACGAGCCGCCTTTTCCCTAGGAACAATTCAATTTCTGATTCCCATGGCAACTGTCCTTTTCATGAAGCCTTCCGTCTCCCCATCCCTCCATTATCTTCAGACCTATCACCCACTCAGATCTCTTCTCTGTTCTACCCAGCCTGGAGCACGTGGTTGGCTGTCTGAACTACTCTCTCACCTGCCCCCTCACTGTGCCTGCATCTCCTTCCGCCCTCTGCGGCTGCGCCCACGCCCCGAAGTCCCAGCCCTGATCAAAGCGGTAACTGAACTGCTTTGAGCCAGCACAGTAGCTCAGAAGGGGTAACGATCGTGCTGCTGGGCTGACGGACACCACTGGACAGGCGGGGTCTCCACATTCTGCTGTTCCCCTAAGGTTTTCTTGTTCTCTGTCCGCTTGCTTCCCTTTTCATTCCAAACCTTTTTCATTCCTCTCAATTTCCTAGCTCCACTCCCACGCCTCCCATTCTATTTCATAGCCAGCCTTGCCTCGTGCTTTTCAGAAGCTGTCAGACAAGATCTGTCTATGAACCTGTTTGCTCCCATCCCACATCCTTGTACTGGGACTGAAGGTTCAGAGGTTGAGGTGTCTCTTCTACTGAACTCCAAATCATCCACCTGTGCCCTTGGCCCTGGATACGCCCATCACCGTCCCTCCAGGAAACGCCCCGTGTTTTCTTGCATCTTCAGCTTCTTCTCATCTTCCCCTCAGCCTATGCACACAGCAGGACCATTATAGCTCTCGTAGCCCCAATCCAAACCACACCAAATAAAACTCTGTTGGTCGCCTGGTCCCTTCTAGCTACCACATGAATGCTATCCTCTTCTTTCATGCAAACTTACTAAAAAGACGGGTGGATGATACTTACTGGCCATTATTTTCCACCCTGCCTTCCCTCTGGGCACATCCGAACCCACTGCAGTCTGGTTTCTGCCCCACCAGCCTTCTAACACCGCTCGAGCTAAAGCCGCCAGGGACCTGCGAAGCATGGAACCCTACAGCCTGTCTCTGTAGTTGCCATTATGGTTCTTCCTTCTCCCGGAACCTCCGCACTTGCCTGCTTCCATGCTCCACACTGTCCTAGCTTCTCTCACATTTCTCAGTCCTTGTTTTGTCGCCACGCGGGCACCCTCTCCTGCGCCGGCCCTTGAAAGGTGGGTGTGCAGGTGTCTGGCCTCGTCTCACCACATTTTTGATGTAGACGCATTTCCCGGGAGGTGTCCTCATCTCACTACTTATGTGCTGGTGGCTCCCGCACTGTGACATTTACCTTGATCCTTTCCTCTGAGCCACAGACTTGTCTGCAGAAATGGATGTCCCTAAGCCCCTCACATGGAGCCGGTTCAAAGCTGAACTCATCTTTGTCCTGCCTGAACCGACTTAGACGTGAGGCATCCCTCCTGGACTCCCCCTCACTCGTCACGCCCAAGTCCTGTGCACTTCACCTGCAGCATTGTCCTCTGAATCCCCGCCCACCACAACGGCTCCTGCTCCAGTTCGGGCAGCATCACCCATCACCCCCACCTGGACACCCTGCCTCCAGCCTTGGCCCCTCAGCCTCGCCCTCCTCAGAGGGCAGACGCAGAGACCAGACTGCCTGCGTTGGGATCCTGGTTCTGCCACGGACTGGCTGTGGGATTGGGGCACTTTACTCCACCTCACTGTGCCTCGCTATCTTCATCTGTAAAACACGGATAATAAAAGCCCATATTTCATAGCCTTGCTGAGAGCGTGCCACAAGTCAACACCTGCAGAGTCAGGCTTGTTGTTATTGGCAGTCACCGCCTGAGCCTCAGGCGGCAGCCGCACCAGCGTGCGTGTACTCTGCACACTGCGGGGGTCCCCCTGCGCCTGGAGCGCTCCTCTCACTGTCTGAGGCTCTGCTTAGCCAGGAAGCCTGGCCTAGGAGTCCCTGTTCTCTCTTCTTACACTCCTCCTGTTTGTTTCTCATCCTCACCTGTGGACATGCTTACTGATTTTTAGAAACAGGGGAAGAGAGGGAGAGAGAGAGAGAGGGAAAGAAATATTGATGTGAGAGAGAAACATTGATTGGCCACCTCTCCTTTATGCAGTGAGTGCTCTGACCAGGGACTGTGCTGGAGACCTGGGACCGAACCCAGGATGTAGGCATGTGCCCGGACCAGAAATCAAACCTGCGACCTTTCGGTGTATGGGATGACACTCCAACCAACTAAGCCACACTGGCTAGGGCTGTGCTACTCCTTTTTATAGCTATTAATGAGCTTACTATATTGCATAGTAATTTTCAGTTGATACATCTTTCTCTCCTGCCAGGTCCAAGAAGGCAGAGACCAGACCTTATGTATTATTGCAGCTTGAGCAGCCAGCACAGCAACAGCTGCTTTGCATGTGTTTGCCAGGTAACTAAGGAGTAACCGAGCGAGTAAGCAATCAATTGTTTCTTGTCTTTATAGGCTGTGCATCTTAGGATTTTTCATGGTTGCTCTGTTAGATTGTGCTGGAAAGTCTTTGAGAGCAGGGTCAGAAAAACTCACAAGTGTGCCCTAGCAGAAGTGCTCACTCTGGGCTGGTGTGGTGCGGCTTGGTCTGGGCCGGGAGAGCGCCAGACCTGTTGGTTGACAGGCTGAGGGGGAGTTGAGGAAACGGAGAAGTTGCAGGTACACGGTGTGAGGGACGGGAGCACCGGAGGGAGATGCGGGTCGGGACAGCAGTGACACCGCGTGCTCGAACCTTTAGGACAGCAGGTAAGAAATGGATGTGGGGACGGACGAGTGGATAGAGAACTCTTGCCTAGCAGCGTCCACCCCCTCTGAGGAGTGCGGGGGGCAAGAGTGCTCCCCGAAACAGAGTGAGAGGCAGGAGCGCAGCGTGGGGCCGGGGAAGAACAGCCAGAGTCCATCGCGGGAAAGCGAGATGACAAGGACAAGAAGGAATCCGGGGAGGGGCAGAGGTTGCCCCAGACCTTAAATCTCTGCCCCAGAGCCCGGCCCTGGTGAAAGTCCTGCTGTGTGCGGGGTCCAGGGGCAGAGCGCTTTACTGACAGCACAGCCCATGTCCTCGGAGCGGGCCACACCTGTCCTGACTGTGAGGACACACTTGGCTTTCCCAGCAGGTGGGGGAGCAGGAGGGCCTGGGTGTCTGCACCCCCTGCCTGAGGGTGAAGGGTGCTGGGCGAGGCCGATTTGGATGTCTGCATTGGGGACCTGGCCTGGCTAGTCCCCCACCTCTCCTGCAGGGTCACCTGGGCCTGCCAGTGCTGTTAGGTTGCTCCTGGGCACAGGGGTTACTAAGTCTTAGCAGTTTTAGGGTCCACAGTCAGAGCCCAGGGCTCAGTTAAGAACAACCAGGATGGCTCTTACAGGGCTTACAATGAACTCATACATGAGACAAAATGTTTACTGTACGACTGTTACAGCCTGTACTGTGGTTCGTCCTCTGGTCCTCTGTCCTCTGGTTTGTCTGTGCATGTCATCTACGCCTTGTTAGACTGTTCTCTATCTAATCCTCCCAGAACCGTGATCACAAACCATTTGAACACACCGCCCCCTAGTGGCCCCAAGCTCACTGCCACTTTCTTTTGACACTATCCAAGCCCTCTGCCTATGGGAAGTGAGGCTAGGTCCCTCACTTAATGCACTCCTTTAGAAGAGTGACCAGCATTGGGACATCAGGGAGATAGATGCCTGCCTGAGGTGACAGGTAAGCAGTAGCCTTTCTCTTACCTGAGAAAAAAGGCCACCTCTGCCAATGATAAGACCCATGCGTTTGCAGTCCTCGTGGATCTGACTGACTTCCTCACGGGGAAGAGGCTGGCGGCTCGTCTGCAAACACATTCACGACACATTTCTGTTTGCTGCTTGAGTGGTTACAGACACTATTTCCAAGAGGAAGAAAAGCAACGGAAGCAATCGATGTTCTTCGCTCCCTCTTAATCTCTGTCTTCCCCTGTAACTGAATAAAGCTGTTAACTGGATTTGGGGGGAGGTGGTTATTGAATATTAACAACATCATTAATATTTAACATTATTAATAAGAATTAATATCATTAACACAACCGTATTAATATGAATAATATACAATATTTGATTTTGATAAATGTTATAAACATTGACAATATTTTTTTATCCCAATTTATTTCCAAATTGCTAAGGACAAAATGAAGTTAAATGCAGACAGCCAGTGAAGTTTGGCTGCCCTGTGAACGTGGTTCTTTACCTGCTGAATTTGGGGTCTGCTTTAGTTTTGTGGAAATTCTCCTGGATTCTCTTCACTTTGTTTTGCCCTGTAGAGAGCTCATTCCAAAGCCCAGGAAACGGCTGAGGTTTTGCTCGAGTACACGAACAGCCAAACTTCCCCTGGGCCGCAACGGCACCTGGGCAGCTGGGCGGGCGGTTGTCTTCCTCTGTCCCGCGTGTGAAATTCGCTCTTTCCCCTCGAGACTTTATCCTCCAGGGTTAGGAAAGGTAAGCGCTTTCAGGGCCAAGAGGCTGTTGCAGGTCCCTAGGCATCGGCAGCAGGTCCCTACCCGTAGGCCCCGGACATGCCAGCACCCCTGCGGAGACACGGCGGTGGGGGTCTGTCCCCTTTCTGTGTGTCCCCTGTGCTCGGAGTCTGTGAGTATAAGCGTCTCCTCCTGGGTCATTTCAAGTCGGTGGGTCTGCGTGACCTGGAAGTTTTGGAAGTGGATATCTGGGCCTCGCATGGGATCTATCAAATGAGGACATTTGTGGCAGGGGTCGGACAGCTTTACTGGCAAAGGGACCCTCAGGTGACAGGGCCAGAACTACGGCTGTGACCCTCCTATCTGGAGCGCTGAGGGCCATCAGCTGGGCTGCAGCAGCTGCGTGCACGTCGGCTCCGGCCCGGCTCGGGTTTCCTAGGCACAAGACGTGCCCTTTCCGTCCCTGTGACGTAGGGCGTGGGGCGGGGCATCGAGGGCGCCCCCTGCATTCCTCGCCTCCGGGCTTCCTACCCGCCCTCCCTCTGGGCATCAGTCTCCGCCTCCCGCCCTGACTCTCTATCCAGCTCAACTCCTGATCCAGCTCCTTCCTCAAGTCTTCCATTCCTGGAGAGCCATCAGACCAAGCTCCTGAAATAGTTCCCATGCTTGTCTGCCTTAAGGCTGTAAGATAAGGAAAATGTTTTTCATACTTCCAGACCGCTAGATGACGGAGGACCTGGGATGGGGTGGGGGAAAGACTGGGATCTTCTCAATGATCCTAAAGCGTCACCGTGCACCACCATTGGGAAGGATTCCGATGTTTTGCCAGGAAAAATCAAGTTCCGATGAACATGTTTATTCGCCCATTTTTGACCGTGAGCCTGCAGAAGTTGGGTTTGGAACAGTGGGGAAGGACGCAAAGCCTCCTTGCTGGTTGGACTTAAGTCTGTGGAGTCTGGACTGGGAGGCAGCGACAGTCTTTGAGGGAGCCCCTGGGCTGGGGACCTGGGTGGACTTTCCTGAGCCTTCCAACAGCCCTTGTGGCCTAGTCTCTTATTTTTCTTATTTCCCTGTTTTCTTCCCTTAGCTTTAACATCGTGTTAAAACCAGCTCTGTTGTGTGGCTTTTATAAAAGAGTCTTATATCCATGGTCTGGTCTAAAGATGGAAAGAACTGAGCGTCAACTCTCCTAAACGAGATCAAATAGCAAGAAGTCACTTAACAGGAAAGTGAATCCCTGTGGACAAGAGTTAGCACAGAGGGGTCGGTCTGAATATTCCCCCTGAGTCAAGATTCTCCTGCCATTGCTCTCCTCAGATGATCGAGGCTTTGCTTTTGTTGACGGGGCCAGGGGACAATTTCCTACTCACGTGGACTGTGGGGGCAGCAGCAGAAGCAAGGGGAAGGCTTTGAGAGACAGGGCAGACAAACGGTCTGCAGGCCCTGACGTTAGAAATAAGGGGAGAGAGGGAGCCGCAGGTTATTTTGCGGTGTTGAGGCTGGGTCACTGGGAGAGCAGTGGAGGGTGAGAAACAGGAGCAGTGACCTTGGGAGGAATAACTGGTTTGGGAGAATGCTCAGTTCAGTTGTTGTCCTGTTGAGTTTGTCACAGTGGGGAACGTCATCCGAAAGTCGTGTTCTTTCCTGGTTGCTTGGGAGACTGAAATCCATGCAGACACACGTACATGAAACCTCAGAGATCTTTTAAAACTTCCTTACCCCTAACATCCTTCTCCCTTATTTCCGTTAGTTCTCTGGACCACAGGCCCCTCCCCAAGTAATTTCCCCCTTTCTTCATATTTGTAATTCTAGCTATTCAGTTATCACTGATGCTCTTTGCCTAGCCTGGCAAGAGTAGTACCAGTTCCCTTTTCCAAATCCCCACTGTCACCCTCTGGAGCTCTTCAGGGCCTGCCGGCATTGGGCTCATACTCAACACTCGTGCTGTCCTTGGGGCTCCCTCCCTGAGAGCGGATGAAGCCAGCGTTAGGCTGATGCTGCTGCTTTGGCTCTTGCTGCCCCAAGAAGCCAGAGAGAGAGAGAGAGAGAGAGAGAGAGAGAGAGAGAGAGAGAGAGAGGGTGTGGAGGTCAGAACCTACCTTATCCTTCACCATTTCTATGCCTATCATGAGGCCTTTGCCACGGACGTCTCCAATAATTTCAAATTCATCCCGCAGCTTAGCAAACTTCAGTAACATGTAGGTGCCAACTTCTTGACTGTTCTCCTGTAGATTTTCCTCTTTAATCACCTGTTGCAAGAAAGCCCCAAGTGCCCTTGCATTACAACAAGTTCTAAAATCGACTGAGAAACATCGAGAGGTAAGTGGATCTGGCCGTCTTTACAGAAACGTGACCAGACAAATGGAGCCCCAAGTCCAGCGGGGCAGACCGTGGACCACAGAAAGATTTTCTGTAAGGAGGAAGAACGTTTTGGGCACAGAGGATACTCCCCCTGCTCCTTGCGCATCTTTAAGGGAGGGTAAGGATTTAGGAGAGAGTAGGAGATGAGGCTCAGTGCAGTCTGGAACACAGATGCCATGACCCGAGGTTCAGCACCATCTGGCTTTGCTGAAACCCAGTCTACAGCAGTGGCGGAGGAGACTCCGAGGAAAGGCACGCCACAGAGGCTTGCCCTCCTGGGGGCTTGTAGGCCTTTGTCCGCTGCTCCCAGCCAGATGGGCTGTCACGGACTAGATACGGGCAACACACTGCATTCATGCTTTGCTGGTAATAAATGCACAGCTCCCGGCAAACCTAGCAGTTTTCAAGACCTGTCTGTTCGCCTAAGTCCTCTCTCCCTTCTAAACAGGTTGAGGTGACGCAGCACTTTAGATACACGTGTGCAGTGTCCAGCAGTGAGGGAAATGACCCACCCTGCCCACACTTGCTTATCTCAGGGTTCAATCACATTTGAAGCTACTTTTTAATTAGCCAGGACAGCTTTCGCTTACTTGGCTTTTTATTTAACAATGCTTTCAAATGTGAGTTTTTGAACAGGAGACTCATGTGCCTCATTGAAAAATCAGAAAGTGTCCCTCCCCATAAACAGCTGCTGTTATTACATTCTTGAACAGTCTTTCAGAAATACAGTTTAAACTTATTGAAGCAAATGCTCTTATGTGTGTTAGCGAGGGCACTAATTTTCTTTTTTTCTGCAGAAGTGACCCCAGGCAAAATCAATGGAGTGGGGCCAAACCAAAGCTGAATTACCTATTTGTAAAGTTTCCCTTTAGTCTTTAAATTTATGACAGTGCAAAAAAAGGAAGAAAGAATATGTCAGAAAGAGCCAAAATTAAACTTAAATCAATGATAACAATCGATAACAATCCGTAAAATATCACTCAAATAACAAAGAAATTTCAGTGCTCCCAGCTAGCTAGGGGAATGGTTACATTTCCTGTGCGTGTGAGGTTGTCATATATTTCTTCCTCAACGCTTGGAGCACTCAAACTAGATCATTAAAAGAAGGTGGGGCAGGTGTCAGAATAACAACTGGGGATCTAACTGTAAGTCAGTACTAATTCTTCAATAACGCAGTGTGACAGAGACGTGAGAACGAGTGTGCGGCCTCGAAGCAGTCATTCTGTGAAGCAGGTGACGCGCACGTGGCGGCGGGAACGCACCTCGAGCACGGCCGATCCCACGGCGCAGGCCACTGGGCTCCCTCCGAAGGTGCTGAAGTGCAGCACGCAGTTGGCCAAAGACCTGGCGATCTCTAGGGGGAGGAAGCAGAGGTGGATACAGGGAGGTACCTTCCTATCAAAATCTCTCAACTCAACATTTGGATTGTGTTGTAAACGACATCATACAAAATTCATTCTCCTCTCACCAGTTAGTGGGTATTTTGGATGGAATTGCGGCCCCCACCCAAAACCACGCGTTGAAGCCCTAACCCACAACGTGGCTGCATTTATAGCTACAGCCTTTAGGGACGGGCATCATCCAGGTTCAATGAGCCTTAAGAGTAGGTCCCAATCCAACAGGACTGGTGTCCTCAGAGGAACAGACGACAGGGCTCTCTTGCTCTTGACCGAAAAGGGTGTGTGGGGACAGAGAGAGAAGGAGGCTACCTACAAGAGAGACCGCACGCCCTTCTGCGGGCGCCTTGGTCTTGGATCGCCGGTCTTTGAACTGCAAGAAGATAAATGTCTGTTGTTCAAGCTGCCCGCCTGCAGTGTCTTATGATGGTACCCCTAGCTGATATGGCGGGTAAGGAAAGACAGCTTATTTACTCCATGAAAAGTTGGATGACAAAATCTTGAATGTGTTGTGAAAACCGAAAAGTGCCTTAAGACTAGGTTTATGGAAATTTACTTGGAACCTTCATAAGCTAAAACCTTTTCTCTGTCTTTCACATTTGGGACCAAGCAAGGAAGAAAAAAAATCCCGCATATCAAGGACTTAATAACATAATTGTGGGATCGTTTCAGGGTGAGTATACATTCAGTTCCTTATACTTGACCTTCTACATCCATATTCTTGCACCTTACGTCACTTAATAAAAACACTGAGCTTTCACAATGCACTTCATTAGCCTTCAGTGCCTCATCAATGTGGGAAAGGCACGTTTTAGGAATTTCATAAAAATTGTTTTCTGTACTACCTCACTCAAATGAAAAATTCAGTTAATTCTAATGCTCTGGCTAAGTGGCACTGGGCTATGTTTGGCTGTGTTGTGGGTGAGACATCACAGACAGGTCTCTCACTCTGGACCTTGCGTTGGCAGCTTCTTGGTGTGGCAAGACCGAGTAAGAGTGTCCCCCCAGCATACGAGCCCTCGGGAATTTCGGGGCTGGCGTCAGGTTGGTTCACAAGGGTCTCCTGTGCCGGTTTCGTCTCTGTGGCACGGTTTTCCAGAGCTGGCCGGTGGGCCTGAGCCCCGCGCTTCCTTGTGGGGGCCGGAGAACTAGTCCGGCCTACAGCAGGAGCGAAAAGGGCTGGCTCTCTCCCCTCTGTGCCACCACCTGGCAGGCAGACTGTTTCTGCTTCATGTTTAATTTTTTGTTGCTCGGGAAGTGCATGCGTGGTTCCCATCACCGTCTCCGACCCACACAAGCTCCCACGCGCGGGTTTTCTCCATCGCGGGTGCAGGAGCCCAGAGGCAAACCCGAACCACCCGCGGATCCTACCTGGAGTTGTCACGACTGCTGCCATGGGAAAGCCGTTCCCGATCCCCTTGGCCATGGTGACAATGTCTGGCAGGACGCCGTGGGTTTGGAAGCCCCAGAAGTGAGAGCCCAGCCTCCCAAATCCTGTCTGCACCTGCGGGGGGCAAACCCACACTCACTGGGCACCTCTCGAGAGATGCCGGTTCTCCGGACGCTGACCCCCCGTCACTTTCCTCCCCTTCCCCCCTCCCCCCCACTTCTCCCTTCCCCCTCCCCATCCTCCTTCTTCCTCCCCCTCTTCCTCCCCCTCAGTACCATCACTCTCGGCCATTGTCATCACCATCTTTGCACTCATACTGACGAGACACCGAAGCTGTGACTGAGCTTTTAGGTACCGAGATCTACTGACCAGCTTTGTGTGACTCTGGATGTGTTTCTGAAGTCCCTCGGCACCTCTGCTCACTCCATCAAGCAGGAACGCTAACCTAGAGCGATGCCTTGGTGGGTGGGGTGCGGAGAGGAGGCGGGGGCTGCCCTTGGTGGACCAGGCTGGGGCCCCTGCCGCCCGGCCCAGACAGCAGGGTCCCCCTCTTCCCCGGGACTCCCTGTTCTTCCTCAGAATTCTGTCACCCGGAGGACCCGCTGAGCCACCTAACTGCAGGCGGAAAGTTGGCCTGAGCTGTTTGGTTCGTGTTGTTCTCCTTCTTGAAGACCCTCTCCCTGCCTCTTCATCTCACTACTTTCTCTTGTCCTAGAAACGCAGCTTCGTCATCATCATTTGGTCAAGATTTTCCTGAGCCCTAGGACCGTCCCCAGTCAGGGCATCTGGGCTTGGAACCTCTCACCCCTGCCCTCAGAACCCCCACCCCTGCCCTCGGAACCTCTCACCTCTGCCCTTGGAACCCCCACCCCTGCCCTGGGAACCTCTCACCCCTGCCCTCAGAACCCCCACCCCTACCCTCGGAACCTCTCACCCCTGCCCTCGGAACCCCCACCCCTGCCCTCTGAACCCCCACCCCTGCCCTCGGAACTGCCCACCCCTGCCCTTGGAACCCCACCCCTGCCCTTGGAACCCCCCACCCCTGCCCTCGGAACTGCCCTTGGAACCCCCACCCCTGCCCTCGGAACTGCCCTTGGAACCCCCCCACCCCTGCCCTTGGAACCCCCACCCCCTGCCCTTGGAACCCCCCACCCCTGCCCTTGGAACCCCCCCACCCCCTGCCCTTGGAACCCCCCACCCCCTGCCCTTGGAACCCCCCCACCCCTGCCCTTGGAACCCCACCCCTGCCCTTGGAACCCCCCACCCCTGCCCTTGGAACCCCCACCCCTGCCCTTGGAACCCCCACCCCTGCCCTTGGAACCCCCCACCCCTGCCCTTGGAACCCCCACCCCTGCCCTTGGAACCCCCATCCCTGCCCTTGGAACCTCCAGCCCTGCCCTCGGAACCTCCCACCCTAGACTGTTGTCATCACCGTACATGTCTGATGACGGGAACTGAATCTTGTTTCTCTCTCTACCCAGAACACCGAGCAGAGTGCCTGATAAAAGCAGACACTTGGTATTTATAGAATGAACACCAAAGTGGCAGAAATGCCTAACTGAATCAAGCCACACCAGCATTTCCATGCAAATTTCTGCCAGTGCCTTTCTGGTGAAGGTTCCGGCTCAGTCCCTTGGTCTGTCTGTCCATCCGTCCATCTGTCTGTCTGTCTGTCTGTCTCAGTTTCTCTGCACATCCACACATTGCAGGGCAGGGATGGAGGTGTGGAGCTGCTGACACTGAGATGCCCTTGGAAGAGCATCCTCGTCCTGGCTGGTGTAGCTCAGTGGATTGAGCATGGGCTCTGAACCAGGCATCGCAGGTTCGATTCCCAGTCAGGGTACATGCCTGGGTTGCAGGCCACAGCCCCCAGCAACTGCACATTGATGTTTCTCTCTGTCTCTCTTCCTCTCTTCCCTCTCTAAAAATAAATGAATAACATACACACACACACACACACACACACACACACACACACACACACAGAGCATCCTCCCTGGGTTTCCTTCCCGTCTGCCCGGCTCTCTCCAGGGTGCTGCTGCAGAGGCAGACGTCAGGGTTCAGGATTACAGGACAGCAAACAACGTAGGAGAAGGGCTTGGACTTAGGAGTCAGGCAGACCTGGGCTCGGGTCTGGGGGTCTCCCACTTCCCAGGTGTGGGCCTCCGGGCAAGCCGATGAATTTGCCCACGTGAGATAATGCAGGAAGAGCTTGTGAAAATCCACTCATTTTGTCTTCTCGCCTTTCGTTTTTCCCTCCATCTGTCTAAGTATCGTAAGCAAATGGTGAAAACTCAGGTGGCTTGGACAAGGCAGGAGAGACTCTCTAGGGCAAGGGGCCATGTCTGGTTACCTAGAAAGTAGCACTTTCACAGAACCTTTCGGTCGAGCAGGGATGCCTCATGCTAACTTTCATAAACTCAGAAACAGGCCAGACCAGTGAAGACGGGCTGCCCAGCTGGTCCCAGAGGGTGGCCAGTCTTCTCTCTTTGGTTCCAGATTTCTCATTTTAGAGAGGAGAAGACCGAGGTTGGCTACTTAGGATGATTTGTGTGAGATCCCTCGGTAACCGCACTGGCTCCGCACCAGGTTCCCCATCCCTGCTTCTTCTTCTGCCACCCTTCGCCTTCCACACCACTGTCCATGCTCTGATTGACAGGCAGCCTGGTCCCGTGGGTAGTGTGGTCTGGGAGCCCGGGTTTGAGTTCTGGCTCTGGCCCTACTAACTGCATGACCTTGGTGGAGGATTTAACCACGCTGGACTTCCACTCGGTTATCTATAAACTGGGAATAGTAGCAGGGGGCCACACCTTATGGAGTCGCTACCAGCATCAGCATGCAAAACACTGCAAACAGTGCCTGGCACGTAGCCTGTGCTCAGAAAGTCCCAGCCATTCTTAGCTTCCCCGAGTTTTTAAGACTGTCCTTAAGGTCACCTGGGGTTAGTTTCCAATGATGTTATTGACAATGACAAAACCACATGTCTTAGAAAATTCTGAAATTCATGTTTTCTCTGAATTCAGTCTACCTTCCCTCTAATTAGTGCAACTGTGGCAGCTGCAATTTCTGCTGATTCCAAAGGTGAAAGCTTCTTCTTGTCACTGATGTAGATAATTGCAAACCTGCTGAATATAATTTTCTTCTTCTTTTTAATAACAGATTAACTTTTTTCAGCTAGGACTTTGATCAATTGATGCTCCTTTAACTTATTTGAGCAAGTTGGGGAAGGGGGGATGGGCGTGGGAGGGAAACTGGTTCATGCCTCCTTCTGCATGCAGTAGACTGGGGGGGGGGGCGGGGATGGGGGAAGCGGGTTGGTCATCCAGTCCCCCTGGAGATAACAGAGGCCAGGCTGTACATGTAGAAACTGAAAAAAAATCTTTTTTTTTGAAAGGGAGCCCAATGTCTGCTATGGGTTGTCCAGGTGAGAAAAATGGTTTGGCAAAGATGGCAGGTCTGAAACCGGCGTGCAACGGCCGAGTTCTCCACCCATTCCTGGCGGGAGTGACCATCGCTGGCGGAATGGTGCTGAGTGGGCTGGGAGCACCGCGGGAGGCCTGGCCACCATGCTCTGGCCTTTGCTCCTGGTTCTCTTCTCAGCAGGCAAACAATTGCTTTCTTTCACGCACTCCAGCAGGAGGGATGATTGTAAGTAAACTGATCACTTTTAAAAACGCATGGGTTCAGTTCGTGTTCACTGAGCCAATGAATATTCCTTTTAAAGCCGTCCCTTTGGAGACACTGTAGGCTATTCCAACAAGGGGTAAGCTATTTTAGAATTTTTTTTGAAGCTAGTTTTTGAATATCTGTAATGGTGGCCCTCTTCTTTTTTTTTAAAACCCTCACTGAGGACATTTTTTTTTATTGCTTGTTTAGAGAGAGAGGAAGGGAGAGAGAAACATTGATGTGAGAGAGAAGCATTGATTGGTTGCCTCTTGTACTGCTCAGGGGATGGGGCTCAAATCTACCACCTCAGTATGTGCCCTGACTGGGGATCGAACCCACACCCCTTTAGTTATGGGAGTACCTGCACCCAACTGAGCCACACCCGCCAGGGAATGGTGTCCCTCTTCTAACTTAGAGGCTGATTTTTTTTTCTTTGTTAAATATCATTTCTAAACAAGTTTTGTTAGCAAAGTAAGGTGAATGCTGCTGTGCTGGTTAACACTATTTTGGCAAAAAATTACTTAATAAAGACTTGTTTATGGGACTAAATTTTTAATGTGGTTTTTAAGTGGCCTGTGGTGAATCTCCATATAGGAATTTAGAAATATTTTGAGCGATGGCAGTATTACCTGTGCCTGTTAGCAACTTATGTGATGGACTTCAGTTTGCACGTTGACATTCTGCTGTCTGTACCTGTTACACAGACTAACTAATCCACCAATAAACCAACCAGCCAACCAGCAAAGGCTTCATTAACTTATGCCCACATCTTGGAATTCCCATACTAGATGTTTTCTGTCCGGAATACAGGGAAGTGTTTGGAGAGGCCCCGCCCCGCCGCGCCCCACCCTGCCGCGCCCCCGCTGTCCCGGAGGCACTGCTGTGCACGAGTCCCTGGCCACTTACTTCGTCCGCAATGCACACGCCTCCCCGCTCTCGCACCAGCTCAAAGGCTTCCCTCAGAAACCCCTTCGGGTACTGGACGACCCCGTTCACCCCCTGCAAAGGACCAAACCAGGAGGACCTGTCATCATAACAGCATAACAGCACGGCCCTTGGAAAGTATTTAAGAAAAAAGATAGGTTGTCTTCGTTAGTAATGCTGACAATTTTTTATACTCAAAATACAATTTTTTTTTCAGTCTCGACGTGTTGTCTTCTTTATATCCTTAGTTACAGCAACTTCTGTTCAGCGAGGCTGAACTTCAGCTGCTTCTCCAGGTCGATTGTTCTGTAATTTAGTGTAATTGTAATGTGGTCACGGGCGGGGGCGAGCACAGCGTGTCCTACTCTGCTGTTTTCACTGGAATTGCAATTCCAGCAATTTTTAAAGAGGCTCTGGAATGATTTCAGCCATGGGTTAAAAGAGAGACCCGTTCCCCTCAACACCACATTTTCTGAGAAAAGAATGCAAACACACGCTTGTCTGAGGTTAGAATACAAGTAGATGAAGGGGATTTCGTGAGATTATACAGGGCGGGGCTAAAGTAGGTTTACAGTTGTAAGTATGCGAAACACAGAATTTATTCCTGTGTTACTACTCATTAATGAATTACTATATCACTTCCCATAAGAACAACTGTAAATGTACTTTATCTCCACTCTGTAGAAAGGCCTCCCTCGACGGTGTGGGTTTTATGTAACTAAAAACGGCTGGGGTTTCCTTTTCTTCAGAATATTAGGGATCTAATAGTTTCATCTATCTACCTGTTCGGTCCAGGAATTTGGAAGATGGCATTTTTATAAGCCAATTGGAAATCAAGGGCTTGCTTTTTTTTTTTTTCCGAGGGGGCTAAGACAATGAATTGAATTTGGAGAGGGACACAGCCATGGTTCAGTAATGCACAAATCCTCTAGAATGCCTGTGTCAAAACACTCGGGTAACCTAAACCTCAGTCGGTGGTTCCCGCTAATATACTTACCTGAATTGGCTCGGCAAAAAATCCAGCAATTGACTTGGCCACACACGTGTTCAGAGTATCTTTGAACTGTTCAATATACTGGTCTTTAGCGTGGCAGCGGTCTGCAAACAACAAACAGAACCCGGTATGTGGAGGTGGGAACATGGCATCTAGGAGAGCGGGGAACAAACAGCGCAGGGAAAAAGGGCAAACGAGGTGAGTAAATTGACTCGACGCCCTCGCAGCACAGGACACAGGATGTGAGGACATTGATTTCTGAAGGGGCAACGTTCTGTCAGGGTGACCTGTGCTTTGGCCCGAGCGCACTGAGGCGGCCGCAGAGGCGTAAACAAACCGCCGCGGCGGCTTCGAGCTGGCGGAGGAAGGCCCAGACGCGCCACCGAATGCGGTGCAGAGCGCTGTTTCACCCACGGGCGCCCGTCCTCTCGCCTGGGTAGATTGGATTCAAATGTAATTGGCGTGTGTGGATTTAATCTGCTTGCAAATAGCTCTATTTACCTTTTACTGACACTTCAGTGGATATACAATTTTAAAGCTACCAGGTGCCTCGGTCCTTAGAGTTAGTTAATACGTTTATAGAACAACTAGACATCAGTCTAAGGAGGAACGTGCTGGAGCCAGACAACGGCCATCCGTGGTCGCAGAGAAGAGGAAGCTCCATCCTCTGACACAGCCAGGGCCCCGGACCGACTGGGCCCACGCATGCTGCACCTTCAGAGTCTCTATTCGCACCTGCAACTTGGTTCTCAACAGCACCACAGAGTCTTTGGGCGTGAACCCACATCCACGAACAGCAGGAGGGCTCACGAGGGAGCTGCGGCTGTGACAGAGGTGGTGGTGGAAGTGGTCTGGGAGGCGACTCACGCCTTACCCCGTCCTCACACTCACTCAGAGGCCTGGCTGGAGCCCCGCCTCCTGGGGGCTGGAGACAAAGAATAGGAACCCTCAAGAGGGAAGTGTAAATCTGCTTTACACTCCAGCCCCTCCTTAAACTCTACCTGGCCCCAAACTTATTTTTAGGCCACAAGTGGTGTTGGGAAAGCTTGCTGTCCCTGACACCTCTGATTAGTTAGAGCTGGGGACTGGGGTGTGAAGAAGGAGATAATGAAAAGGATAATCAAAAGCAGAAAGCACATTTTTAGCATCGGTTACATTGTTTGACAGGCAGGATAAAGTTGACAGATAAATCTATGCCTCTAGAGATTAAAATTTTCTATGTTTTCCCACATTTTTTATTGTTGTTCAAGTACAGTTGTCTCCATTTCCTTCCCCACCACTCCCCTCCCCTCCCTCTGAAATTTTCTACTTTTAAGAAAGGAAGAGAAAACCGTGTAGGATGACTGTAATGGATGGATTAGAAATATGGTCAAAAGATACACGTAATTCGGGAACTTAGCAAGCCCATTTATAGCTAAAGAAACCAAAGGGCAGAGCAAAATCAACTCCAATGGCTAACATTTGGACAAAACTCAAACCCAGAGAAGGTTCTGCTTGGCTCTGTGCTCGTCCTGTCTCGATCTCCTCCCACTGCCCCCACGTTCCACAACGAGGGGGGTCCTCCACGGCCGCCAGCATTCCACTTCACCTCTCTTTTCCTCTGTTGGCTCATTGCTGTAACTGCGGGTCAGGCTGCCTCTGGAGAGCGACCTGGTGCAGTGGCATCACCATGACAACGTCCAGGTGGTACAGAGGGATGCCCTGCTGGATGCTATCCAAGCAACAGAATAGGGAAGGAAGTGTTCTTATTTTAGCCAGGGGTGTAGGAAGAGTTAAGCAGAGTGAGGAGTCAAGGAAGAAAAAAAATTAAGGAAAAGGAAATCTATTTTGCAAAAGGTGACGAAGAATCACACGATCACTACCAGGTTGGGAACACCATGGGAGCTGTGGGTATCGAGAGGTGAGTTTCATCACAGGTGAAATCTGAAATTCAGGGCCCGGGATAAACACTTGGGAAGAAAAGTTCCCGAGGAAGGGGTGATGGGAGATGATGAAATCTACCACACCACCATTTCTTTCAGGCTCACAGAATGGACCACTGCTTAAGCCTAGGTGGGCAGCGATGGCGCCATGGTGAGGCGAAAAAACTTCTACCAGGATTGGCACCTGAGGGAACCCTAAGAGGATCCTGGCAAGGGCAACCTTCCACGCCCAAAGTACTTTAGATACTGGAATGCTTTGGTAAACATATATGAATGAACCTTATTACAGCAAAGACCAAACACTTCCGAGGTCCTCAAAGCACTAGAGGAGGATGAAGTATTTTGTATTCCAGTTCTGTTTCAAGATACAGTGTCAGCATTGCCTCTTGGAAACCTGAGCTAAGAAAACAGCTGGCTTCAGCTATGCCAGAGACAACAGTTCGGAGAAGCAGACATGAACATCTGTCACTATCATCTAGCCTCCAGTTGCCACTAGAGGTGTGGCCGCTGGGTTCCGGGAGATTCCGGTTGGCCTAAGGCAGAGGAGAAGGCTTCAAAGAGGGAGAAGGCAGAGAGAATGGAGAGAGAGGGGGACACTGTAGGGAGGGAAGGGGGTGACTATCTCTTGAGTGCTCCGCCCACTCGGCTCTGTGCAGGGAGTTTGCAGTCCCATCAAGGTCTGAGAGGCGCACACCAGGGAGTTGGGTTCTTGATGCCTCATGGATGAGATGTGCAGGTATGGCTGTCCTTGGCGTTGCTGTTATCTGCCTTCCTCTACAAAGAGCTCTCTTGCCTTCATCCCATGATGCCTTGGGATAAGAGGTCAGGGAGGCAGAGGTTCTTGTCTCCATCTTGTAAGCGAGAAAACAGAAGCAAAAATGGAGCTTTCTTTTCCTGGCTGAACCATGGTAGGGCTGGGGGTGAGACCCATGTGTCTCTTCAATCCTGGCCAGCAGCGCAGGAGTTACTTTTAAGCCCGAGTTCATCCTGCTGGGACATTAGTGTGAACAAGGGTGGTCATAGGTTGGGGGCTTTGGGGTCAGAAGACTTGGGGTCAAGTCCTAGGTCTCCTGCTTTCTAGATGTGGACTTCAGTTTCTTCATCTCTAAAGAGTTTGAATGACGGCTATAAACTTCCTTACGATTTTAAGTTCTGTGACGGTGACATCTTGTTCCAAAGCTCCCTCCTGCATCTGTCTGTCTCCAACTGCCATCATCCCGTCTGAATTTTAAGATGGCTGAGTTTTCTTCTTTTTAAGACCACTCTTAAGGACTTCCATTTGCATTCCTCCTGTCAAGCCAGTGACACTTCCTATTCTATTAGACATCATTTGGCTGGAAAGTCTAATTCTTCCCTTCAGCGCTACTTAGGAGCAGCTATTCAAAATGTTCTGAGCTATAATGGCAAATGCAAGGGGAAACTCAGTGATTAGCAGAGAACAGACACCATTTCCATGCCTCTTCGTCCTCATGTGTAGGATGCAAATAGAAATTCAATCGGTAAATAGATACTTTCCTTGGGAGAAGGCCTTCAAACCATTGGCAAGACGTGTCAGCAGCCCTTGGGAATGGCCTTAGGTTTTGACAGATGCTCTCATTTTGACTCGCATCCTGAGTCCCTGGAGGAGTTTCTGACTGGCGTTTTGAGAGTTCTAAAAGTATTCTTTTTCCTCTCTCTTCCTTCTGTTGGAAATTGGGAAATAATTCCACCAACTTTGTTTCCTTTGAAGATCAATAACAGAGCTATTGCTCATAGAGGTAACAGAGCTTCTTTAATGAACTGCCAGGGGACAGCCTGCTTTCTGCTTAGCTCTGATAGCATGAACGCTTTTCCTAACAGCCAGGCAGGCCCGCGGTGCTAGGCCTGGTTCCACAGGGGGCTGCTTTCTAGCTTTGTTTCCCTTGGCTTTTTCCTCCCCCACTTTCCCAAATCTCCGTTCACTCAGGAGTGCATCCGCCTTTCTCCAGGTTCTGACCCCTCCCGCCCTTCCCCCAGGCACCTCCCTCCCTGCCCGGCGGGACCTGGGGCACAGCTGCATTTCCTTATGGTTTGCACGGGAGAATCCCGACAGTGGCTTCCTCCCCAAGGGCCCCGGAAGACGTCTGGGCACATTGTCTGCAAACGACAGGAGAAGTTTGTCAGAGCGCGAACTGAAGACAGGCACTTCGGGGGAGCATATGGTACTAATCAAGGCAAGAGGGTTTCTTAATTTGATGCTGAGATTTCTCTCCCACTTGGGATGAAAATCTAATTTTCTGCTTTGAAGAGATAATGCTTTCTTAGAAATAGTTGTGTAGGCACTCTACAAGGGAAACTGATTTCACGGTCAGCCTGGTAACAACTCACTCAGGGGTTTGCAGGGTAAGGGCATCTGAAAGAATAAGAATAATTAGGCATCCGATGCTGAAAAGGTGGGTACCAGGACGCCTCTACAGCAATTTTACGCATTCAAAAGCTTTGAGAACTAATTTCAACGCATTTATTGCAATTTACTTGATTGTATTTAAGAGCAAAACAAAATTTAAAAACCCTATCATTAATTATTACTCAGACTCTGAAGGCCTTTCTAAGAAACATTTTCCTCAAAGAGTCTTCAGTACAATTAAGTCAAATTGAGCTCCTGGTTAATGATAAGCTTTATATTAGTTTCAAATATGAATACCTGGAAAATCTGATCAATTGTTCCGCACACCCAGCGGCCTGTAGAGAAATAAGACAAAAATCTCCAAACTCACTGATCGGCAGCCCGACCCACTGGGGAGAGTCATCTTGAACAGCCCCACGTTTGACAAGCTGCAGGTGTAAGGACTGCATCCGTGGTAGGCTCCTCTGTGGAGGAAAGACAGGGCGGGTGGAGTTTGGTTCATTGCTCTTTGACCTCTGGCCTGTGGAACACAGATAGGACAACAGAGAAACAGAAAACCCGAGAAGGCCGTGGAGATGAAACGGAATGCTGTTAATGGGGAACTCCAATAGTTTCTGAGAAATCTTCTAAGTCTATGCCAGGCAAATGGACTTATTTATCTTTCCTGTGGTGTCATAGATTTGAAATCGTGGAAGAAATTGGAGACCATCCAGCCAAGAACTCTGACCTCAATACCTGCCCTCCTCAGTTACTCTGAAGTAGTGAGACTCATCTTACAGCGACACATCAGAAATGATAGAGTCAGCGAGTATTTGTCTGTGAACCAGTCACCTTCCGAAGCCAGCTATTTCTTCCTGCTGTGGCTCCACCCTTTTGGGAACTCCTCTTTAAGTGTCTTAACAGCCATCTTACTTGGCACAGAAGAAATACAGGGCTTGCTTCTTTTTGAACCTGAAACAGTCTTATTTAGTATATACCATCCTAATCACCAATTTTGGTTGCAGACCAGTTTGACCATTTTTTTTTCCAAATCAAAATCACTCAGATTGCATATTTAGGACTATGCACTGTCCTAAGGCTATGTGGTAGGATGACACGTATCTTGAAAGAGGAGACAAACACGTGTTGAGTCCTGGGGGCACCACGACTGCTTGAACAGATTAAATACCGGGGCACACATCTTCTGTAACGTTTATTTAGGTAAAATATCAACCACAACGCTTTATAGTATCTCTGAGAGCAAATGTTTGTTTGTGCCTGTAGTCACTATGCATGCATTTTATATGGATGGGCTTTGGTAATCAAACTTTGCAGGAATCAAATCTTCTCTCAAATCTAGACAGAAATTATGGACATAGAGGTAAAAGAATGGGAATAGTTTTTCATTCCGTCAACTTTTACTATAACTCACTCCTGTCTTTCACATAAACATTATAAGGGTGTTTAAGCGTGCAACTGTAAGCAAAACTCTTAGCTTTCTATTACTTTGAATGCTACCAACGTAGCCATCAAGGGTTTATAGTTTACCTATGAAACGATGGTTCTCAAAAGTTGCCCGTAGGACAGAAATATGCAGGGTTCCATATGCATCTTGAGAATTCAAAAAATAAATAAATAAATAAAAGGGAAAACCTGATGCAGCTGGCGCCTACGCCTGAGCAGAGATTAAGTGGCGCCAGGGTCCTATGGGAGGGTCCTGAGCTCCTGTGAATGGAGACCAGCAATTCTCCACCTGGCACAGGTCACAGTCAAAGCACATCTTCAAAGTCCAAGAGCTGTGATGTGACCTTTCATTCCACAGGCGCTCTACGACCAAACCAGGACTCCGTGCTGTTTGTCACCCCAGGCAGGGACCAGGTTAGTTTGGATGTGGTCATCCCATCACACAATTCATTGGACAGATCTTTTCTTAAAATCTAAAATTAGAAACCGACCCCCGGGGAAGCCCCTCCAGCCCTATTTTAAAGATAGACCATGTGTAGTACAGGGTGAGTCAGCGTTATGAAAGTCGGGTGTCCCCAGGTGTGGTCACCTGAAGGAGATGATGTCCGTGTTCTTGGAGTGTGCTCGGGCCATCATCATGGCGAGGTCGTTGGCCTCGGAGCCGCTGTTCGTCAAGAAAATGACCTGGAGGGAAAACACAGACACGTGGCCTTATACTTCAGTTTATTTTCTTATTATCCTGTTGATTCAGACTTGCTGCAGGCTGTGTGTCCCAGCCTCTGATTATTGTGGAGACTTACCTTCAGACCAGTAGTCACCACATTTAATTACTGTGTTAAATCTACAGCTTTGCATGGAGCAGCGGCTAAGTGCTACGGGTGCCACAGTGGCTCAGGGAGGGTCCCAGTTGTGAAACATTCCAGACTTTCACTGGCTTTATTCGCTGCTCTGCAAAGTGCTAAGCAGGGAGGCTTGCTGACGTGTGTGCAGCGGTGAGTGGCTGAGTGTGGATCCGAGTCCTGGTCTCCTGGTTCCACTGCACCTGGTCTGCACCTGGTCTGAAGGCCTGGGACTGGGCAGGCCCCCTGATCCTTTAGCCTCAGGGACAGCCCAGCCTGTAAGTTCAGTGTGTGTGAATGTTGAAAAATCAAGGAAACCAGGAAAAAAAAAAGCAGTTCACCTTGGCCGCAAGAAAGGGGAGAACTGAAGGGCCCTGGGCCTCCGGCATGGCGCCAGCAGGCATGCGCTGTGCCCTTCTGCTCTTCCGCACACGTGACTGTGCTGAACGCAGGCCGCAGCTACTCCACTGTCTTTCTCTCTTCTAGGTGCCAGAGCACATAGTGTGTCCAGATCATGCCGTAAAATAATACTAATAGTGAACACAAGGTACTGTTCTAGGTACTATACATACATCAATTCATTGGATCCCTAAACGCAAATCCTGGCCAACGTTTTGACATCTCAATTCAGTTAAAAAAAAAATTCAGTCCTTCCAGGTGCAGAAAAAAAAATCTCCTTTAGCAAAAGAATATCTAAGTGCATCTTAGACTAAATGAACTGAATGGTAGAATTTATTTTATTTAAAAATGGCCCTGCTCTTTGCACAGCAGCTATGAAACAGAGAGATGAGAACCTCTTGGGGAACACAAAGGAGGGAGTGGGGCGGGGGGGCGTGGAGTGGGGGGGGTCGTGGAGTGGGGGGCTGTGCAGCTCCTGCGGAGTGATTCCTGCAAAGACGTGCCAGCGAGGTTAGCGAGGAGAGGCGTGGTGCTGATGCAGCGAACACTGGTTGGTTTCACCAGCGACGTGAGAACTGCTTTCTTCTCGATTGCGATTAGCTCACTATTTCCGCTGTTCAATGCACACGCCAAACCCCTGCCCGTATTCCTGCTCCCTAGGACTCCCATCCCTTGGAGCTGGGAGCGTTATACCTTTAGAGGTTCAGGAAGAAGTGCCGAAAGCTTCTCCGCATATTCATGGCTTGGTGGATGGAAGAAGAGGGGGCTTGTGTGCCACAGGCGGCCGAGCTGCTTTTGTGCCGCTGCGTTTACCTTCCTGGACAGACAGGAGGGCAGAGTTAGTTATCCACGCTGCAGGCAGGTGTGCCCCTCCCAACGCACACGCCGGTCGCCGAACTCAGAGTTTCAGGAGGCCGATTTCATCCACACGCGAGAAAGCTCTCTGACCACCGGAGGTGTCTGGCAATGGCGTGTGCTGACCCAAAAGGTAATGAAGGAGATCAAATGAGTATCTCATAAGGATTTTAGAAAAGAAGTTTCTAGTTTAGGAGGAAGTCTGGACTTCAAATCTCTTCTACCTAGGTTTTCTTACTCATTACGCTTTAAATAGGATACCAGGGGCAGCAAGATGTAAGCCTGGGTGTCTTATTTTTCTAAAGGACTGTAGGCGCATCAAGCACTGGTACACAGAATCAGTATTTTTTTCCTTCAAAGGAAGCGCCACTCCCTGGGCCTTAGTAGTGGGGAACGTGGAACATTGTGTAGCTGTGAACACGCTCCGTGGAGGAAGGTTCGTGCCGAGGGGTCTAGGGACTCCGGTGGACGGACGTGTAGGTCCTGGCTTGGAGGGTCCCGAAAAGCCAGGTCCAGGCATCTGATCTCGACCTAAGGACAGCGATGACGGAGGTGTGTTGCACCGCGATCCGCTTGTTATTAATACCTGCCACATCATAAACTCAGTGCAGTGGCTAAACGACTTGGAGAAACGCCAGATCGACCGGATTTCTTGACTGCGGGGCTTTTCGGTGCCAGCACCGTCTCAGCGCTCCGCTCTCTCCAGGAGGAGGGGCACTGCGAGATGCTTCCGGAGCTCGTTTCTGCACGGGGCCTTTGCCCGCACGCCCCTCCTGCGGTCAGTTCAGTTGCATGGAACTCCAGTTAGAAAATCTCGGAGTTCCAGAAACCCTTTTGTTTGTCTGTTCAATTATATTTATTTATTTTTTATTAAAAAATATTATATTGTTCTATTACAGTTGTCCCAATTTTCCCCCTTTGCTCTCCTCTGCCCAGTCCACTCCCCTCCCCGCACTGCTCCCACAGTCAGCCCCCACACCGCTGTCCGTCTCGGCCCTTCATACGCGTTCTTTGTCTAACCCCTTCTCCTTCTCTCCATTGTTATCCCCCTGCTCCCTCCCCTCTGGCTGCTGTCAGACCGGCCCGGGTTTCCACACCTCTGGTTCTGTTGTGCTCATTAGCTTGTTGTTGTTGATTAGGCTCCTCTCATAGGTGAGACCACATAGTGTTTGTCTTTCGTCAACTGGCTTATTTCACTAAGCGTGATATTCTCCAGTTGCATCCTTGCTGTGTTAACAGATAACAGTTCCTTTTTTTTCTTGCTGCTGCATAGTATTCCATTGTGTAAATGTCCCACAGTTTTTTGATCCACTCATTTACTGAGGGGCACTTAGGCTAGTTCAGCACTTGGCTACTGTAAATACCACTGCTATGAATATAGGGGTGCATAGGTTCTTCTGAATTGGTGTTTCAGGATTCTCAGGGTATAATCCCAGCAGTGGAATTGCTGGGCAAAGGCAGCTCCATTTTCAGTTGTTGAGAAAATCTCATACTGTTTTCCACAGTGGCTGCGCCAGTCTGCATTCCCACCTGTTGGACCCAGTGCACTAGGGTGTCCTTTTCTCCACATCCTCACTAGCACTTGTTGTTTGTTGCTTTGTTTATGATGGCCATTCTGAACTGTGTGTGGTGGTATCTCATTGTGGAAACTCTTAAACAACAGAGACACTTGACAAAAGCATTGTTCAGCAAAATCAACCTGAGAGCAGCCGGAGGGTAGAATGGAGGGGGAGGAGAGGGTACTGGTGAGGCCGGCTAGGAGGGCAAGGTGGCCTCCCAGGTGTGGGAGGAGGAGAGGGGATGGGAGGAAAAACATTCAATGGCAGGAAAACAGCCCCTTGGTGGTTATAGGGAATGAGAGGCAAGAAAGAGTCAAAGGTGACATCAGCATTCTCGCTCGTAACACAGGGAAAAACTCAGGATCCACTGAGAAATGCAGCCAGTTGTCCAGCTGCCCAGCTCATAGCAGGGAACTTCTGTATAATAGTTGACTCACGTGAATAGAAATGAGCATGTGAATGGAAACAGCATTGTGGAGCACGTGGTGGCTTTAGTCCTGAAAATGTTGAGTTTCAGCCAATAGTAGGATATCATGGGGCAGGGGAAATATGCCATCTGATTTCCATTCTGGTTTATTAGAGTTATTATCATAGCTTGGCCGAGGCCGAAGAGATAGAGTTGGGTAAGGCTGCTGAAAATGTAGCAATTAAATGAGCAGAGGTAGGGACATAAGCTGGGGCCCGTTCTACGGGAGAAGTAGTGAGACTCGAAGGGAATAGAGAGGGAAGAGCAGGGTGCTACGGAAAGAGGCGGCACCGCCCGGAGTGAGGAGGTCAGAGGTCAGTGAGGAGGTGCACAGAGGTCATGAAGGTCAACAAGAACAGTCAGTGAACAGGAACAATCACTGTTGGGAGGGTTCAGTGGGAGTGTTAAAAAATTTTCTCTACCTCATTTTTCTCTACTTTCATGTGTGTTTGTCTTATTTTATTTTATTTTAAAGATGTCTTATTTTGATTTTAGAAAGAGAGGGAGAGAGAGAGAAACATCAATGTGTTTCGACTTTGCTCTTAAACATTGATGTTTGCTCTGAAACATCAATGCTCTTCGACTTTGAAGATGTGCTTTGACTGTGACCTGTGCCAGGTGGAGAATTGCTGGTCTCCATTCACAGGAGCTCAGGACCCTCCCATAGGACCCTGGTGCCACTTAATCTCTGCTCAGGCGAAGGCGCCAGCTGCGTCAGGTTTTCCCTTTCATTTATTTATTTTTTTGAATTCTCAAGATGCATATGGAACCCTGCATATTTCTGCTCCTACAAAAACTGCTTTGTTTTCCCACTTATGCGTTCATTGGTTGTGCCCTGATCGGGGATTGAACCCTTAACCTTGGAGAATTGGGACAACACTCTAACTGTTTTAAATTTCACTGGAAATGTGTTTTTCACGCTCCTCAGGACCCCGCAGAGGGCCACTGCTTCCTGAAGGCGGAGATGGAAAGGAGAAGGCGACAGGAGGAGAAGGCGAGGGCTGGGCCCCGGGGTTGAAGCTCACTCCTCGCTGCCCGGCAGCTGCTGGCAGAGCGGACCCCTCACCCGCACTTTGACGGAATGGCCTCGACCCATTCCGTTTATGTAGACCTGCTACTTTATTTTTGTCCCACTTGATGTGAATTTTATTGGCCAGATTATGAAAGGCATGAGAATACAGAGATTAAAATAAGATGGCTGGACGGAACCCTGAAGGACCACAGAAGGGCCTGCACAGGCATTGGTGTGGGCAGGGGGTCACCAGGCCAGCAGAGAACTCAAGGCCACAGGACCCACACATTCTTCATGTGAGTTTCCAGCCATGCTACATCTTTGCCTAACTGTCCTTTTTTCCCTTATTCATGGGTCAGAGTAGCCGATGAAGGTCCTCAGGCTGAAACAGATTTCTCATCTCTCTTCATCCCCTGCCCCCCACACCAGCCCCTGTGCTCTGTGAGAACTGCCTGCCTTTCTCTTCTCTCTGCCTTTTCCTCCTCGGTGCCTTTCCTCTCTTTGGAAGCTGTTGACACAGCACAGTGACACGCGTACACACGACAGTCCGATTACACAGTACACCCCACACTGCAGGTACAATGGGAAAGACTAAAATTTGCCCTGTCAAGCAAAAAAGTGCAGTGGTGAGATTGTTTTGTCACCCAGGAAATAGGAGGGGGCCCCCCCTCCATAACCTGGGCTACGCCTAAGGAGAGAGCGGTTTGGTTAATCAGGGTCCCAAGTCACTAACGTGACCATTAGCCCTTTTCCCATACATCCTTCTGGAGTGAAAGCGCCGGGATTTTAAGGATACTCACGGGTGGCAGTGACCAACACTGACGGTGACAATCCCAGAAAAGAAGTCCAGGTATCTGTTTCCCTCGTGATCAAAGAGCCACTCCCCGTGGCCCTGGTGGAGCAGCAAAGGCTTGGAAAAGTAGGCCGTCAGCACGGGAGAAAGGTGCTGCTTGTGGATGTCCAGGACGCGGTCGTAGGGAAGGGACTGCGGACAGACAGCAGCTTGGTATTAGAAGAAACCTTCCTTTCCTCGTCTCCACGGTGCTCCCGACAGCAGGTCCCTGGAGCAACACCTCGCCTCTCTACTGACCCAGGGTAAGGCTGCCGCCCCGTGCTCAGTAGCGGATAAACGTGCCGCTGTCTCCCATGCTGGGCCCCCAGCCCTTCCTCTCCGGTAGGGGGCGCCATTAATGTGGCCCTCTGAGCCCTTTGTAGATGGAACACGAAGGAGGGAGTGGACAGTTTCTGCCTCTCAGTGGAAACCCTTGGCTCTGAGTTTATTTTAGCTGTGAAAAAAAAAAAGACTGCTCTGAGTGGCATAGCTCAGTGGACTGAGCGCGGGCTGCAAACCCATGTGTTGCAGGTTCGATGCCCAGTCAGGGCACATGCCTGGGTTGCAGGCCACGACCCCCAGCAACCGCACATTGATGTTTCTCTCTCTCTCTCTATCTCCCTCCCTTTCCTCTCTAAAAATAAATAAATAAAATCTTTAAAAAACTAAAAAAGAAAGACTTTGAAAGTAAATGTCTGAAGTAGCAAGTCAGGTTTTAAATCTTTTTTTTTTATTTTGCTGCATGTTTTTTAGAATTAAAAAATATGAGTGCTGGTGATGTTCACGTCCATGATTACTAAACTTGTCTCCTCTGCTTCTCTTCTTTGTGGGTCCCTCCTGACTATCTATCAGTTCCACAGTTTCTAACCTGTGAGTATCATGTAGACTAAAATTTTGGGCAGAGAGATATATTAATTAGCCTGAGAGCAAAATGATAACTTGATATTTTTTTTGGTGGAGAAGTCAGGGAAACTGTCAAATTCAGAACATTTTTTTAAAAGATTTTATTTATTTATTTATTTCTAGAGAGGGAAGGGAGGGAGAAGAGAGAGAGAGAGAAACATCAATGTGTGGTTGCTGGGGGCTGTGGCCTGCAACCCAGGCATGTGCCCTGACTGGGATTCGAACCTGCGACACTTTGGTTCACAGCCCATGCTCAATCCACTGAGCTATGCCAGGCAGGGCTAAAATCAGAACATTTTGAAAGTGAACGTGCACCATCCCATTTTGTGATACCTGTGTTTATGTACGTGTGTATAGATCTGAATCCCGGTCCCTGGGGTACACCATCACGGACAGTCCCTTCCTTGCACTCTCCGTCTGTCTCCCTCTCTCTGTCTCTGCCTGACTCACGCGTGTGCACACCAGTTCACACAAGGGCACTGAAGAAAATCAGAGGGTTCCGATGGTCCCAAAGATCTAAAGGACAGGCCATCTGCGATGGGATGGCCCAGTGACAGGCAGGGACATCTGTGGCTCCTTCTCGAGGAAACAAGGGACTCAGCCTTTTCTAGAAGAACCACCTCTTTTAGGTTTCCCTGAAGCTCTCACTCTTACCTGGTATCTCTCAGGGGTGAAGTCACATGGAGGCATCCTGGGCTTTGTATGAAGACCGAGCTTGGTCCCAGACCCCCACAAAGCACCTGCTAAGAGTGAAGTGAGTTAGTGTCCTCAACTAACCATCACACATGCCTGTTTGTATAAATCACCTATAGTTACCAAAATCCATAGGCTCTTTAGTTCTTCCTGTTGATTGCATTTTTTTCCATTACATTTATCTCCCTTATACCCCCTCCCCCTCATAATCACCCTGCTGTTGTCTGGGTCCATGAGTCCTTTTTCCTTTTCTTTCGGTCCCCTGACCCCCTAACTACTCCCTCCCCACCCATAGCTGTCAGCCTCTGTTTATGGATCTGTCAGGATATTTTATTTCTTTTTTTTAAGATTTTATTTATTTATTTTTAGAGAAGGAAGGGAGGGAGATAGAGAGAGGGAAACATCAATGTGCGGTTGCTGGGGGTCATGGCCTGCAACCCAGGCATGTGCCCTGACTGGGAATCGAACCTGTGACAATTTGGTTCGCAGCCTGAGCTCAATCCACTGAGCTACGCCAGCCAGGGTGTAGGATATTTTATTTCTTAGTTTAAAAAAATCAGTCTGTAGTTTGGATTTAAAAATTGAGGTATCTCAATAATGAATTTTCTTGAGAAAAAAAAGATGGTTCTTCTCAAATGTAGTCAGGGGAGGTGTGGGAAGTTGTGGTTTTTCCCATCAGGGTCTTCCCAAGCTTGGAAACTCCTCCCCACCTCGGAATAGTTACATGTCTCTCTCCAGTGGACCGAACTTCCGCTGGTGCTGTATGTTGCTGGAATGTGTCTTCTTTGTCAGTAGAGGAATCTTCTAAGTGTTCGGTTGCCCAGGGCCTGACTCCCCAGTACCTGTCCCAGCTTCTGGGTCAGGGCTGGCTGATAATAGACGAGGAATGAATGACTCTTGAGTTTTCATACAGGAATGAAGAGAGAGAGAGGTGCCGGGAAAGGTGCGACATTCAGAAGTACTGCATGCGAACAGATGAGAAAGGCAAATCCTCCCTCCAACACACGACACGAAGACCACAACAGCACAAGACCGTGGACAAGCAAAGACAGGCTGAGCCCTCGGGGCAACTGATGGACTACTACTACCTGATGGACAACCGTAGTCATTAAATATTTGGGGTCAGAATGGGACTTTAGATTTTTCTTTCTGGGTAAAATGCTCGTTTTATCAGTGACTAAACCAGTCTGGAGTGGTGAATTAGTTTAAGGTCACCAAGGTGGTTAGCGGCAGCACAGGGTAAAACTCCAAGTGGCCGAGTTTCAGCCCAGTGCTTTTTTCGCTCACTCGCTGGCCACCTTTGGCCTCTTGCTTCCAGCACAGATTCTAATGGGAGAATGGGGCCAGGGAAGAGCGGCACTGGGACAGATGTCTAGAGACTATAAATATTCTCGGACCACAATGCTGCTACTTTTGAAGGTTCAGTGTCAGTCACTGAGATAACGTTACAATGTTACAGGTGAGCATGCGGAGGCCCCGGGTTCTCTTGCTCAGCCCGAAGGTTTAAGTCCGTGGGTGAAATGTCGGTGTTTTGTGTGGCTGTGAAGTCACGGTCCCGAGGAACACACTGAGCAGTTGTGTTTTGAAAGGAAGGTGAAATTTAACAGCACTGAACATGTTTTCTTTCCAAGAGCTCTCACTCACTTTTCTGTTGCAAAGAATGACAAATGTCTTTGATTTGCTCTTACCTTAAAAGCAAGTGGCTTTTGGCTACTCATGCATAAAAACAACCCCCCAAAATGACAGTTTAAGTTTCCTGAGAATTTCACCTTTGGAAAAGCCTTTCATTGTGTCTCTCTGCATTAGTTACTCTTCTGAGATGAAAAAAAACCATTCTGGGTGTTTCTAAGAATTCAAATTTCCTTCACTCCTTCAGTCTGTTTTTCCTGTTTGCTAAGTGGGAGTTGCCCATTGAGATGGCTGTAAACTCTCTTGACTTCAAGGTTATAGGAATTGTGAAAGTGGGCTGAAGGGAGAAGAGAATTGGAAAGAAAGATTTGATAGAGGAAAGTCTGAATTTCAAACGAAGCAAATTCATTCATTCATTCATTCATTCGCTCACCCAACTGATAGGAATACAATGGTGGGATGAGGGCTCCAAATGAAATACATAAAATTTCTCAGGAAGGCCCTGGCTGGCGTAGCTCAGTGGATTGAGTGCAGGCTGTGAACCAAAGCATCACAGGTTCGATTCCCAGTCAGGGCACATGCCTGGGTTGCAGGCCAGTTCCCCAGTGGGGGCCATGTGAGAGGCAACCACACATTGATTCTCTCTCTCCTTCTCTTCCCCTCTCTAAAAAATAAATGAAATCTTAAAAAAAAAAGATTTCTTAAAAAAATTTCTCAGGAAGAAAGGAAGGAAGGAAAGAAGGAAGGAAAGAAGGAAGAAAGGAAGATAACAAGCAAGTAGGACAAATTAGTGAAGTGAAATAAGGCCAGATAACATTTCAAGTCCATTGCCTTTTCATGCCTCCTCTCTCACTAAAGAACCTAAATTCAAAATAAGAGCAATAATGCTAACTGATGGACAACCCCCCCAAATGCTTCAGTTTGCATTATTTGCTAGAAAAAATTAAAATCTAAATATATAAATTATTCTCTGTGTTTTTTATTCAAAGTAGCTTCTGTTTTGAGGATGACATGAATTGAGGGTTAATAAAGCTTCCCTTGGGTTCTTAGAAATTCTGTGTCCATGTGCACGCATGCTTGTTAGCATGTGCGTGCACACACATGCATAGTGTGCACACACACATGCCTGTTAGCATGTGAGGCACATGCATGTCCATTGGCAAGTGCAGGCACACACATGTCTATTAGCGCATGCATGCATGCACATGTCTGTTAGTGTGTGCGTGCACATGGCTGTGTGGGTGTGGGGAGAAACATTGAGTCCCAGGTTTATTTCTGTATGGGCATTTTTTGTTGCTTTTAATCATTTGAACTGGTCTGATGTTGCCTTTTTAGGCCTCATGCTAAAAACCGATGACAGCTAATGATTTTCATCCAGTTCACAGATTTCCACTTCAATCCACCTGGACAATTCAAAAGGTGTCCACCCCCCTTACATAATACGTGCCAGGTGGGGAATTCAATGTGATTTTCCAACTGCCTGATTCTCACGGAGTTCCAGAGCATGTAAGTCACTTTAACTTTTTCTTCTTTCCCCCCAAATCATAGTGTTAAAAAGTGAAAACCAGTTGGGCCAGATCAGTGAGAGAGATCAATTTTCATGCGCATTTGAAAATTCTAGGGGACATGCTTCTTTGTAGTGACAAACATTTTTCTGACATTTTTCTAACCAGCTTCCAACACAAAGGGGGCATTTATCAAGTGCTTCCTTACTCTTAAAGAAAGGCTGCAAAATACTTGAAAATACATAGTAGATACATTTGACAGAACATTAATGTGATTTATTAAAATGCTAATTATGCTTTACTTCTGCTAGCACAGCAGGTAACTTTAAAAAAAGTGTTCCCCTCGCTGGTGTAGCTCAGTGGATTGAGTGCGGGCCTGGGAACCAAAGGGTCACAGGTTTGATTCCCAGTCAGGACACATGCCTGGGTTGCGGGCCAGGTCCCCAGTAGGGGGTGTGCAAGAAGCAACCACACACTGATGTTTCTTGCCCTCTCTTTCTCCTTCCTTTCCCCTCTCTCTAAAAATAAAATAAATAAAATCTTTCAAAAAAAAGTGTCCCTTTGGGTATCTCATCTGATACCTGAGTGAGGAAGATTTTATCACTCACTTTAGAGCTGGAGGTTGGGACAGGGTTGATGTGAAGTGTGTGCAGTTTGAGGGCTGCACCCGCCTCCCCCAACCCCGCCCCGGCCCCAGAGGGTTGGGGGCTGGGATGCCACCTCATGGAGACCTGCTGAAACTAAGGCGAGGTCTGGGTGAGGCGGGGGCAGTGCTTGGCTGGGGAGAAATTTTCTCTCCTCTGCTCCCGGCTGAGCTGCAGCCGCCAGCTCCCAGACTCGAGAGGGGCTCCCTGGTTTTCACAAACGGCTCCCTCCACAGTCTGCAGGAAGTTACCGAGGACACTTGTCCCCACCCGGCAGTGCCATCTAGTCCCCCCACCATGACAGGCAGCGCCTGAGTCTCCCTGTGGGGAGCCAGCTTTGCAAACGTCGGGCTAACGTCGGTTTACTGCTGTGAGTACGAGAAACTGAGTGTCTTCTTGGACCCTTGTTTGTTGATGATCGCATTGTTTTCCATATGAACAACTGTAAGCCAACGTTTGCCCCTGCCTGTATATCAGACGCCTGCCTGCCTCCCACGGGGCACACCCAGGGGAGGGGGTGAGGCCTCTCATGGGTGCACGCGATGTCTGCTCCGTGGGACCTGAAGTGCTGTGCAAATGGCCAGATGGCAGGAGTAGCTGGGGGTCCTCATCAGAGCCATCATGTGCCCATGGGAGACATCCCTGCTGGGCATCTTCATGCCCAGTCGTGCCCCTTCCTCACCCTCCCACTGATTCCTTCCCCTCCCTCCCTCCCTCTCCCCCTCCCTCCCCCTCTCCCTCCCTGCCTCTCTGCCTTATCCTTCCAACAAATGCCCTTTTGCTTAAGCAAACGAGGGCCAGTTGTCACTGTTCACAAGCAAGAGCTGCGCCCGACCCTGAGGCTGGCAGGTGGCCCTTCCTTTCGGCACCTGTGGGAGCAGACCTTCTCTGAGGCCGCCCCTCTGGCCCTTGGCCGCATGAGGACTGCCTGGGAGTGGTGCAGGCTGGGAACTTCCCTTTAGGGCCAGTTGTCATGTTTTTTGTAGAAAAGGCTTTGCAGGAGTCTCAGGAAGTTTCTCCTGGAAACGGGCATTATTTGCCGTCCCCCAGCCCCGGGGCACCCTCCCTGTGGGAGAGAAGGCAGATGACAAGAAAATGGTACATTAAGCACATACCCCACCTTCCCGGAAATGTTACACATTGAACAATTATTAGCTAATTAGTAACAAAGAAGGCACCACTGAGTTATTTTCTGCACTCTTCTGCACTGAAAACAGATCGCTTCCGTGACTTTGTGTCCGTGTGCACCGCAGTGTGTGCACATTAAACACAGGTAAGGCCTAGCATGTTACGCACACAGAGATCACACGGTAGGTGTCAGACAGGATTGTGACATGTTGATTTTTGCATATCTGACCACACCTAATGCCTGGTGAACCCCCCCTCATTTAACACAGCCCCTGACCCCTCTGCCCCATTTCATTTTCCTGTCCCCTCACCCTGACTTGGTGTTATTCGTGGCGGGTATCTGTACTAGACCTTTTCTTACACACATTCCCTTGTTCACCTGTCTGCCCTGAGCCTCCTCCCTGGGGCGCACGGGGCAGGGGCTTGGCTTCGCTCCCCGAAGCTCTGTCTACGGGACAGGTACACGCTTAGGTGCTCAAATGCTTCTGATCGGATGGATGTTTTGCGCAGAGCAGGTTCTTAAGAAGAGTGTGTTCAATGAGTGTGTGTTCGGATGAAGCAACACGAGCAGACATATATCAAGGTACAGCAGGTAAGAAAGTAGAAATCAAACTCCAGGATTTGAAAAGGCCAGGTAAAGACTACCGCATCATGCTCACGTGGTAGGGGCCGGCAGGGTTACTTCGCCTCTGTAGGGGAGCTACATTAAGGAGTCCTCAGGGAGCAGATCAAGACCTCCGGCACTGAGCCTCAGCTGCCATTTTTTTTTAAAGATTTTATTTACTTATTTTTAGAGAGGGAAGGGAGGGAGAAAGAGAGAGAGAGAGAAATATCAATGTGCGGTTGCTGGGGGCTGTGGCCTGCAACCCAGGCATGTACCTGGCTGGGAATCGAACCTGCGATACTTTGGTTCGCAGCCTGCGCTCAATCCACTGAGCTATGCCTCAGCTGCCATTTCTAAGGCACCCGTGGCCACTGTCAGCCCCTCTCCACACCGGGCAGGGGTGAGGGGAGAGAAGGGGATGGGGCGCAGGGAGGACACTTCTTCTTGCTTTGTCAGCAACTGGTACGTTCAACATAGTGTGCTTCTTATTGAGCATAAAACTCTGGGTATAATTTGAGCTCATGCTTAGAAAATGTTGGGGGTTAAAGTGATGCTTTGGTGAAAGATTTGTGACTGAGAGGAGAGAGAAATTCAAACGGGATTGGAAGAAGGGCAGGTAAGAAAGGGTCTGGTGGGATCACACTGACTTCGGAGTCACACAGACCTGACTCTCTGGCTCTGAATCCCGCCCTCCCCCCCCAGCTGTCCCCGCTACATTTGTGCCTGTGACCAGATTTCTCCATCATTCTGTTTCTCCTGTCTCCTCGTCTGGGACATGGGATGATGGTACTCACAAGTCTGGCTGAAGATGAAAGGCGATAATCACTTAAAGCAGCAGACGTTAAAAGCATCAGACATTGCAATGAAAAGAATTGCAATTGAGGGGAATAACAAGCAAAGAGGGGAGCAATAAAGGATAGAGAAAGAGGAAAAATAAGGAGAAAATGAAGATAAAATCGATGGTACTGGGGAAAGAAAAAGGGTTTCCTATGCCTCATTCGAAGTTGTGAGGCCCAGGGTCCCACCGTGGCAACTAAAAGCACTGATGGCTGCTCATTCTCGTGTTTGTGGGAGGGACATTACTGAGGGCGTGGTGCAGTTCTCGTGGGACAGGTTACGTGTGCACATCACAAACACATAGGACATAACACATGAAGCCAGCAATGGCCGGCTACCCTGGGTCCTCTCCCAGTTTCCGCTGGAAAGAGAAGAGAGTTGAGTGGGAGAAGAGGACCAGGGTCGAGTCCCAGTCTCCTGGGAGCCACGGGGTTAATGACTGCACTTCTCCGAATCTCAGTGTCCGTGTCAGTGATGGCGGGGCTGGTCCCGCCTCCGGGGCCACAGTGGCAATGTGTCTGTTAAAGTGGTCATACTTGAGCATCTATATAGTGCGGTTAATATTTTCTTTTGAATTGCTTTCCTCTTATTTCTTCTTTATAGTATAGCTAAGGTAGCATGTGGTTTTTATTTTGAAAGTTATGTAGTCAGTTTCTATTGCCTAGGAATTTCATTTTGGGACAAAAGGGGCATTGGCAAATCCTGGGCAGGAGAGGGGGCATTGCGTCTGGTAGGGTGAGACCCGCGTCGAAGGTCCCACAAGGTCTAACGTGCCAGGATTCCAGGCGACAGGCTCCAGAGCCTGGCCTTCCCCCTCTCCCTGACGGTCCGCAGCACCCACCCCCACCGCTCCCTGGTGCCCACTCACAGCTCAGGCTCAGGGAAGGGCACGTCTTAGGAGTCCCGCGTGAGGAAGTCTGCAGGTGCAAAGTTCTCGCCACAAGTCTCCAGGCCAGAGTCATCTCTCCTAGTCAGGAAGTAAATCCCCGTGGAAGCTGGTCAGAGGAAGGGCTCGGACTGCTCACCCCCAGGCTGGACTTTGAGATTAGGACGGAAGGGGTGGAGCTCCGGAGGAGGGGAGTCCTGGGGAGGGGACTGCCACCACTTCCCACAAGCCCAGAGCTTTTGGGGCTGGCAACAGTGCCTGAGGGAGAGGGGACAGAAGGCAGCGGGAGCAGGGAAGGAGGGAGAGAGCAAAGGGAGAAGGCAGGCAGGCAAAGTGAAGGTGTTCCGGACCAGTTTTGTTAGTTTTGTGTTTCATCAGGGTCTCATGGGGTGAGCTTCTCTCTGCAGGTGGCGGTGGGTGTGGGGAAGGCTCGGAGACTGAGAAGGAGGAGTGCACACAAGAAAGAGAGAGAGGATACAGTGCATGAAGTGAATGAAAAAAGGAACTGGTTTTGGTACTGAGGCTCTTAGAGGAAGACCAGAGGGATGAATAGGGGAGGGGCATCCAAGGGGAAGGAGGGGGCACCCATGAGTGAGAGAGGGCTCTGGGCAGCTGGACACCCCCTTAGGTGTCTGAGTGAGGCAAGAAGTTGAGAGTTGAGAGTTAGGGGGCTTTGTTTTTATTGCATTTTAATTTTTAAAATTCCCCCTTGTCATCCTTGCCTCCCCCTTCCCTAATCTCCCTAAGCAGTTATTTAGTGCGTTTAAGATGTATCTTTTTGTCAGTATGCATTCTTGTTACACGTGTGTTGTTGCTGGTAAATGCATTTTTAGTTTATGTAAATATGGGTCCTTTCTGCCCCGCCCCCCACTCAGCTGCGTTTCTGAGACCCATCCGGGTTGCTCCGAGTGTCTTTCTCTCAGGTTTCCAAATGCTGTCGGGGAGAATGACTGCGCCTTTGCATGGTGTTGCCAAAGGGGGACAGTGACAAAGGCAGCTGGGGCTGGGGGCTGTGGGGGATGATGGGAGCTCACCTGCCGTGGGAATGACCCATGTCGGGGAGGCCAGGGGTGCACACCCTCTTCCTGGGGTGTGTAACCTGTCACACTCTTGGACCCAGGTGAGGAAATACTGAATTCCTAAGTCTTGCATCTGCTCTTCACCTCCACTGGGCTGTGGTCAGCTTTGTCCTCGTGACCTCTTTAGGCTGCAAACTCCTTTGACTTGAGATTTTTCTTGGGCTGTAGCTTTAGCCACCAGTAGAGGTGCCCAGTGGCTGCAGTGGCTGCCTGGGGTGGGAACCCAAGCTACTGCCTTGCAGAACTGCACACCCAGAGGGTGTGTCTTCTTTATTGAACAGGAAAGGATCTATTCTGTTTACCATAACAATATATGGGATTTTTGTGTGTGAAAACAAACACACTCAAGTCTAGAAAAGCAAAATCAAGAGAGTAGAATCACAATTAACCTGACCATTATATTTTAGTAAGGACTCTATCAGAAATCTTTTTACATATGTGTACCTATGTGTATACATGCCATTGAATAAACTGTAGTCAATGATGTAGCTTTTCATGCAAAAGTAGACTTTTTCATAAAAATAGAAACCCGAGTCACCTGTCCTAGTTTTTTCATGACATTCCATTATGTATTTAATTTTGGGATGTCCTTGGCCATTATTATCTCACCTGTTTTGTCTCTGTTTTTTCTTCTCTTTCTGGTATTTCAATTACACATAGATTGTCCCTTTTCAAATTGTTCCAGTTTTTGAAGGTTCTGTTGTGTTTCTTTCCTGCTCATTTTTCTCATTGTATCTTAGTTTGGGAAGTTCCATTACCTGTCTTCAAGTTCACTGACCCTTTCCTCAGCTGTTTCTGGTTTGTAAATGAGCTCATTGAAGACAGTCTTCATTGTTGTTACAGTGTTTTCAATCCCAGTATTGCCTTTGGATTCTTCCTTCGAGTTTCCATCATTCTGCTTACATTACCCATTTGGTATTATATACCATATTTTTCGGACTATAAGATGCACTTTCTCCCCCAAATTTGGGAGGAATAATGGTTAGTAATGCTACTGTTGAGTTTTGCTTACATTCACCGTGGTGAAATATTATGTTACTTATATTATTAAATATTTTGCCACATTTTTTACTTCAAAAATTTTTTTTCTTATTTCCCTCCTCTAAAACCTAGGTGCATCTTATGGTAGAAACAAAAACATGGTATCTACTTTTCTCATTACAGTCATTAGCTTCACTTATAGTTATTTTAAATTGTCTGAGGCCTCCAAAATCTGTGTCATATCTGAGCTTGGCTCAAATGCTTACTTTGTCTCTTCAGACTGTGTTTTTTTCTTCCCTATAATTTTTGTACCTCTTGCTACTTTTTGATGAAACTTGGTCATGATGCATTGGAAATGCTGAGAAAAGTAAGGCCTTGGTGTGAGATTTTGTGTTACTCTGGTTGGGAGTTTGCCGTGGTCCAGCCGCAGCTAGGTCCAGGGTATCCTGAAAGGTGGGTAAGGCGTCGGCGATGGGAGACAGACGACAACACGCCTCAGAGGACAGTGATGCTTTGTTTATTGCAAGTACAAGCAGGTTTTTATACTTTCATTTTTAGCAGTGATTGACATTTGCGATTAGGTAAAGCAGAAAAAAATTAATACAAAGGTAACCAGGAAAAATACAAAAATTCCCATAGATTCAGTTATATTAAACAAAGATTATTTTAACCAGGAGAGCCATAAATCAGACAATTAGAAATAGCTGTACGTATAGAATTTGAATGTCTTATTGTTTATTAAAATTCTCAGAATTTGTCATGGGGCAAAAAGATACGCTAATTGAATAGAGGTTATAGGAAATTTATTATAAGGCCTTTGTGATGTCTAACTTACCTATTTACCTTTTCTGTCTAAAATATTTCTCTATGTACCATGGACTCTCACTCCCTGGTAACTGTTTCTACGTGCTTAGTTTGTAATAGTTAACCAGCTTTTCTTATTTCTTTGCCTGTCTAATTCTATTTGATATATATTCCTATTCAAGGTAAAGGCGGGGCTGTTACTCCAACAACTTTTAGACACTCAGGGGCTATTTCATTAGAGGGGATTTTATTCTTTGGTCAAGAAATTATTTTATACAACTTCATTGGAATTATGCAAATCAATAAACCTGAGATACAGATATCTAACAATCCCACCACCTTTTAATCTCCAAAACAAACAGGTAAGGAGAGATAAACAGGAAATTCAGCTATAATAAACTCTTTTTATTTCTTAGTTAATAAACACCAGGGAGGTCTGCTTCGAGCTAGCCTTTCCATGAAATTTAGACTATTATAAGGCACTTGAACTTCATCCTTATTGACCATTTTAATGCCACCCTCATTATATGCTCCTGTATAAGGCAATGGGAGATCTGGAACCCTCTGGAGACCATTAGCTCCTTTTGGGGGATACCATAATTTGCCAATAATCTAATATGCTACCCAGGGATATCCCTGGGCTGTGGGTAAGGGTCTATATAGTTTTTTCTTGTTTTCTAGAAAGACTCTTTGTATCTATGGGTAAGGAACAGGCATGGGAAAGTCTGCCAATAATTCAACCTATTATAACTGATTTATGAATTCTTTTATGGGAACAATCGGGGATAATTTTTTACTCAGGTTTATAAACTCCTTGTTTAAAACAATCTGGGCATGATTCAATAGTCTAGGGAGAACTAGTTGTCCCTTCAGAATTTCCCTCAAAATCAATCATTGACTCTTTTCGAGCCTCTTTCTTCTCATGTCCTGTTCTTATGGGAATCAGGGTACAAAGTAAGACCATGATTAATATTAGCAAGGAAATTATTAAAAGCAATCCCCAGAAAAATTACCGCCCCCCTTTGTATGCCACGCTCTCTTCCAGGAAGATGGATTCCTTGAATGCCCTCTTTCCATGTTCAGACCTTGTCAAAAAACATGGTTGGAGGAGGGTGTGGCAGGAGTTGGGTGTATTCAATGTTTGCTGTACTTGCAGGTGCCAGAGGATTCACATTCCCTTGGTGTCCTTGGGTTTGTGTCCTCTCTTGTCTTAGGACTTTCCTAAGGTTCCTCCTTAACCAGAGTCCTTTTATTATGCGGGTGCCCTAAAACCTTATGACTGGACCTCAATCTTTTGGTCGGCCTAAGTCTCTGGACTCTGACCTTTACATGCATTTCTCCAGCAGTTTAGCCTAAAAAAAAAATCCAACTATCGACACCCTTCTTTGGCTTCAGTTTTTCCATGTATTTCCTTGAAGCCCTTATCCCTGTTGAGTATGTTTTTTTCCCCCTTTTTTAGGTGAGACAGGAAAACTAGAGGGAGCTTTGGGGGATGTCCCTCACAGAGCTAACATGGGGCTCAGGCAAAGTCATTTCCCTTGGAGAACAGATCTTTGTTAAAATGAAGGCTCTGAGCACATTTCACACCGATGACTCTTCCCTTTCCCAGCCAGAGCAATGGAGGGGTCATCGTCCTGAGAATGGTGATGCTCCTCTAAGTATGGCCCATAAAAGCTTAGTGTCCTCCTAAGACTGTAGCAACCAGAGAGTTCCTCATTTTCACACTATTCCGCACCAGCCCTCCAGCAATTTATTAGAATTACTGTTTAAGAAGTATCTCTACCAGTTATGGCTCGGGTGACTTTTGCTGCAGGTTAAGCAAGGCTTGGCTGAAACTCTCGGGACTTGCCTGTATCCCTAGATCTCAGAGTGACAATTCACTCTGCAACCTCACTCCTTGGGTGGACTAAAAAAAGTCATTGGTTTTCGGTTTGTCCAGCTTCATTTTGTAAAAATGGGAATGACAACTTGCAAGACTGTTGCATGTTGAAGATAAAGCTGGAAGTCTTCATATATTTTATGCAATAAGTCCCTGTTGAAGGAAAGTTTTATTTTCTGTCACATCCTGGGGCATAGCATTTTATGCACTGTGCTAATTATGCTTTGCTTTGGGTAAATTCCTTGAAGAGAGATTTCTAGGTCAAAGTGTATGTACATTTTATTTATTTACTTAATCCTTACCCAAGGACATATTTGTTGATTTGAGGGAGAGAGAGAACATCGATTGATTGCCTCCCATACAAGCCCCAACCAGGGATTGGGCCCACATCCT